GCAAAAGTGGCACCAGCTCAGCAGTGGGTCGCTCACTGTTCCAATGGTGACACCTGCAGGCAACTGCAAGCAACTGCAGAAGCTCTTGGGAAAACTCAGCATCCAGAGGTGTCACTGAACTCTCCTTGGGCCAGCTGCCACACCCAGCCCAATAAAGTAGATAGGTGCATTAGTCAGGGTTTTCTAGAGGAACCACTGTTAGAATAAGTCTACATATAAAGGGGATTTTGTTGAGTAGCTTTCAGGTTGTGGTCGGGCTAGTCCAACAATGACTGTCTTCTGACAGACAGGCCAAGAATCTGATAGTGATCCAGTCTCCAAAGTTGGGTGTGTTGGTTGATCTTCAGTCTACTGGAATCCTGAAGAAGTAGGCTCTAATGCCAGGGAAGGAAATGCCTCAGCAGCAGAGTAGATGAACTTACCAGCAAGAGCAGGACAAGAAGGCAAAAGGCAAAAGCGTCCTTCTTTTCATATACTTTATGCAGGGAGGCAGTCACCAGAAGATTTAGAGTAGGTCTTCTGACCTCAGATGATCTAGATTTAGGGTAGGTCTTCTCCTCACAGGTGAGCCCAGCTGCTTGGCTTTTAGTTGGTTCTAGATGTAGTCAAGTTGACAAGCAAGGATTAGTCATCACAATAATGTTGTAAAAGGCTTTGACGAAGGATTTCACGAGCCCAAGCTGGCCTTAACTCATGATGCTCCTGCCTCTGCTCCCAGTGCTGAAATTGTAGGCATGCGCCCGTGACCATGTCTGGGAAAGTGTTTTATATGTGGACTTTTTAAGTGTGTGTGTGTGTGTGTGTGTGTGTGTGTGTACACATGCATGCATGTGCCCACAGAGGCCAGAGGGATCCCATCTCTGTGGAGCTGGAGTTACAGGTGGTTGGGAGGGGCTGACAATTGACTTCAGGACCTCTCTATAGCCCTTATGAAATGTTTTAAAATGTTCCTTATTGCTAAGGCAGTATTTTGCCCCAACGGACAAGCCTTTTGTAGACCATGAGGGTGGAACAAACAGGGCTCTGCAGCTGAGTGGAACCAGAGCTAGTGTCTGTGTGAACCCCCCCCCCTTTTTTCTTGAGAGCTGTCCTACGAAGAGAGCCTTAGTGCCACCTCTGTTCTAGTTCTTGTCATTCAGCACATACATCTGGACAGCAGGATGAATTGAAAATGTCAGCGAACTAAGTCATGCACACATCCATTTGTCATGTGTGGCAAGAATCGGGAAACATGCTCATTCTTTCAAAGACTTGTGGTGTAAATGAGAAAAAGTCCCTCTTAAGCTCAGGCATTTGAACACCTAGCCCCCAGTGGGCGGTGCTGCTTGGGGAGGTTAAGGAGCCTTTGGGAGGTGGGGCCTTGCTGGAGGCTGACTTTGAGAGTATAGCCTTGTCTTGCTTGCAGTTGGCTGTCTCTGCCTTGTGGTGAAGATGGGATCCCTCAGCTTTTTGGCCTGGCTGCCTGCTACACCTCCCCTATTACACACGCTCCCTATGAAACTAAGCCCAAATAAATGCTTTATTTTGGGGGGCTGGAGAGATGGTTCAGTGGTTAAGAGCGTTGGCTGCTCTTCCAGAGGACCTGGGTTCAATTTCCAGCACCCATATGGCAGCTTACAACTGTCTCTAACTCCAGTTCTAGGGGATCTGGCACCCATGGAAAACAACAATGCACATAGAATAATGATAAATAAACTCTTTACTTTTTAAGTTGTCTTTGACTGTGGTATTTCATCACAGCAACAGAAAAGTAACCAACACACAAAGGTTTTCTATCTGATGGGGGCAGAACACATATTAAAATGAGTATCCTAACATTGCAATCTCTTTTGAACAGGATCAGGTGCTCTGTAACTATAAGCAAACCCCAATTAAGTGCTTTCTTCTATAAGATTGCCTTGGTCATGGTATCTCTTCTCAGAAATAGAACACTAAGACAGTATCTAACTGACACGATTGTTTTAAAGATTACCTGAGTTGATGTAGGCTGTTACTTACTAGTGATATGAGTAAGTGATGTTTAATGAGAGATTGCTGTCATTGTTTTATGCTGTAGTCCATGGTTTTGTTTTTTTTTTGTTGTTTTTTTTGTTTGTTTGTTTTCCAAGATCCCTCATGGAAGCCCAGAACCATGAATAATATCAAACCCTATACGTGTATAGATATTACATATATAACAAATGTATTTTATAACTACACATACCTGTGCTAAAGTAACATAAATTAGGCACATTAAGAGATGAATAGTAGTAAATAATAACAAAATGTGACAATGTTAACAATATATCCTATGAGAGTCAAGACAAATACTAACCCTGTCAGAGAGAGTTGTCTGGAACTGCAGAAGGGGGACTAATATGGAATGAAGCTGTGGACCACTTGAGAGTCACCAGAACATTCTTCCTCTGCCTAGTCAGAAGCTGCCACATAATCTTATCACTTGGAGTGGGGGGAAAGGTCAAAAGGCTGGAGAGATGGTTCAGTGGTTAAAAACACTGGCTGCTCTTCCAAAGGACCCAGATTTGATTCCCAGCACTCACATGGCAGCTCATAACTATCTATGACTCTAGCTCTAGGGAATCTGATGCCCTCTTCTGGTTTCCAAAGGCACCAGGCATACGTGCAGTACACAGACACACAGTACACAGGCAAATCATCCATACATATTAAAAAAAAGCACAATGTGTCCCCTTTCCAGTCCCCACTGGACATTCACTGGGGGCTGCCTTTGTGTCTTCTGTACCCCTGTTCTTCTGCCCAGACACTGTTTCTGCTTGCTTCCAGAGCCTTGCAGGAGCCATGAAGAGGTGATACACTGACCGTTGCTTTGTTTAATAAACATCAGGGTCAAGAATGAGACCCTGAGAAAGCAGCTCTGAGCAGTGAAAGCTGATGGCCACAGGCTTCCAGAGGCCGCACTCCTGCATATTTATTGACCTGAAAGGCAGCAGAATGAGCCTGTTTTGCTTTATGTGCAAAACTTTACTCTCGGGCCAATTTTCTGGTGCCCCCAATGACATATTACAAAATGAAATAGAAGTATCAACAACGGTACTTTATTCCTGGAATACATCTTCCAAGAGCTCCAGATATCTGCCACGTTGACCTTTCCCTGCCTGAACCCAGGCTGTCACCAATGTTAAATTACTTTCTAAATCAGAGGTAAACTTTACATCATAAAATACCATTCATAGCCACATCAATCCAGCCTGAGATCTGCATTGCTCTCTCGACCTAGACTCCTAGATATCCACAATTCACAGATTGACCAGCTTTGCTCTATCAATATGCCTCACCCAATGGGGTATCACGCTAATAGATTACTGGAGCTGCCGCCCACCACATTGATGTATAAGAGCAATACGTTAGGAAAGCCCCCACTCACCTGGATGATGGATTGGGGCAATGGTCCTCTCAGGAAAGCGTGCTGGTGATGTATGGCCCATAAGGGCACCAACTGGGAAAGAATAAGTTCAAAGTGGGTTCAGTTTAGCTTGTAGAGACAAAGAGAAGCAACCTAGGTCCACCAGGACCTACCAAGCCCCATGTTTACAGGCAAGAAGGCAGCTGCTCACACACAAAGGCCTGCACTCAGACACCCCTGCCTGAGGCATGAGTGTTCATGACTACTGTCAAAGTCCTGGAGCTTGAATTGAAGCAGGCACAAGGATGCTTTTACTCTGTTGACATGTGATACATTTTATAATAAAATTACTAAAGGGAATTGCACAAGGATGTCATTTTGGAAACCGTTAACTGCTCCTAGTTTCTTTTCTATGATGAAACACCCCGACAAAAGCCAACTTAAAGGAGACAGCTTATTCGGCTACCTTTAGGCTACAGTCCATCATTGCGGATAAGTCAAGGCTGCAGGAACCGGAAGCAGCTATTCATTTGTTCCCAGTCAAGAGCAGAGAACAATGAATTAATGCACATGTTAGAGCTTAGTTCACTTTCTCCATCTTATACAGTTCAGAATCCTCTGCCAGGGACTAGTGCCACCTCAACTAAATGTACTCAAGACAACCCCCCACAGACATGTCCACAGGCCAACCTGACCTTGATAATCCCTTAGTGAGAGTCCATTCCCAGGAGACTCTAAATGTGCCACCTTGAAAATTAAAACTAACCATCACATTACAATATTGAGCAGATTGGGCAACTGCAGTATACACACACCAAAAGATACGTGATGATGATGTAAACACTATAGAATTCACTGTCTTTATATTATATCAGTTATTGTGGAACCCAGTGCAGGTGGATATACTTTTAAACACACCATGCTTCAAGGACTCTGATACTCGTACACTGGCATCTGCTTGTACCAAGTGTGGTATTGCTTATTTGTTTTTTGAGACAGGGTTTCTTTGCATAGCCCTGGCTCTCCTGGAACTCACTCTATAGACCATGCTGGCCTCGAACTCAGAGATCTACCTGCCTCTACCTCCCAAGTGCTGGACTAAAGGCGTGTGCCACCGCATCCACCATGATCTTGTTTGTATAACACGGTTTTGCAGCTAGCTACGGAAGGGCAGCTAACATTTGCTTATCACCTACTACTGGCCAAGAGCCATTCTTCCTCTCTCCCACTTAGTGACTACAGACACAGTCCATGGGACTTTTCCTTCTGCAGATGAGGAACCAGGGATGAGGCAGCTAGCTCCTTGAGGTTGTGTAGCCTGTATTGCAGCCTGCAATGCAGCTTTCAAATATGTAAAAAACAAGCACAGCTTCCAAGCACTTGCTCAACAGGGAAGTAAGGCTCTTCCATGCTCAACCAACTCAAGAGGGTGGAACAGTGTTCCACCTGGATTCAGTCCTTGGCTCCCAAAGTGGCACAGTAACCACAATAATTTTAGCATTCGTTTACTGCTTCCTATTTATTCGATTTGCAAATTAGGAGAGATATTAGCCAGGCAGAGCTACTGTGACATTTCTGAATCAGGAGTAAAGGGAATGACAATAATTCAATAAAAAGATTTTGGACTAGGAGGCAATTCTGAAGCTCACAAGATTTATTAAAGCACTCTCTTTATAACACTTTTCAGTGCACATGATTCTAACAGCGACATATTTACACCATTCACTCAAATACAGTATAACAAATTATCCGGCATAAATATAAATAAGCTTACAAGCATACCTGAAACATTTCTGAGGACAGACATGAGTTTAGAGAATAGACACTAGTGTGGTTTGGGGTGTGCACTATAACCCCGGCACTTAGGAGGTGAAGGCAGCAAGATAACAGGGATAGGCCACACTGGGCTACCCAGCAGGACCATGTCTCAAAGACAGAAAAAACTGAGGGAGAAGGGATGGAGAAACTGAAGATTAACTGCTGTGCAGCAAGGTGAAATCTCCGGCTAATTATGGTAAATTGGTGAGTTCGAGGAAGTACAACCTTCAGGACAGGTCTTTCTGTGTACTTCAGTTTGTCAAATAGTAACATAAGGGCTACTTTCCAGAACACTGACCCATCCACAGTGAACCTCAGAAAGAAAACGTGGCAAAAATAAAAGAAGGCAATGGAAACAAATCTCTTGCGTTGCTACATGAGACAGGAGTGGTGCACCCAGGGAGGCCTGGTGACCACACTTTACCACTTCAAAGCACCACAAGCAGACGTGTCACTGCCTGGCTGACCACCCCAGGCTACTTTACAGTCTTTCCCCCAGAGAAAATGACAGGTGTACTCAAACCGGCTTCACCCAGCTACAATTAATGTAGCATTGACAAGTAGCACCCACAAGCGAAAGAGAATCTCTCCAGGAGCTGCTTAGGTCACCCAGGCAAAGATACTATGTATCTTCGTAAATTACACATATTCTTTTTTTTTTTTTTACGATTTATTTATTATGTATATTTACTTATTATTATGTTCTGCCTGCATGTACACCTATAGGCCACCAGATCTCATTGTAGATGGTTGTGAGCCACCATGTAGTTGCTGGGAATTGAACGCAGGACCTCTGGAAGAGCAGCCAGCGTTCTTAACCACTGAACCATCTCTCCAGCCCAAATTATACATATTCTTGTGGTCAAAATGTTAAACTATTTCCTTAAGTTAAACCCTAAAGTAGGATATTATCTTTATTACTTGATTGTAGGTGAAGGAGTTTTTAAAGCTGTGAAATACAAGGATCTTTAATCTCCATTGAACAACATGTAAACAAATTTCCCTTTGGCAAAACAAGCACTATCAAAAAAAGGGCCAGCCTCTGATCCCCCATGTGATGCTATTTTAAAATTTTATGAATATAGCCCCATTATGGAACATAGATAACACCATAAATTATAATGCTATCTAGTCATAGTATGTAATTATATTATCTTTAGGTGGTTACGGCTTGAAAAGACACAGATTATACATTTATTACTGAAGGTGGCAAACAGTTAACCATTCGAAAGAGTTGCAGTAAGCTGCCTTAGTTAAACTTGTGTTGAGAATTTCACCATAAGCCTAATCTTCTATGCAATATATGGGGGAAAGAAACAAACTTTTCAGATTTCCATTCATGAGAAAATACACATCTACAAACAGACTAATGAACCAGTCAGGACAGTATCTCAGTGTTCAAGGTTGGCGTTTAGAATTCAAGGCAACGGGAAATTGGAGACACAGTCACTCACGTGGTCCTGAGACCCTAATTTCATTCTAATGCCACTGTTCCAACATGGTAAACTCCTTGTTTGAAAGTAGTCTGCTTAGAAAATTCTGAGCACACACCAAGGCATTTTGAAATCAGGACTCCATACTGCTGGCATTACCCACACCTGACAGGAAGCTATGCATAGACACAGACTCTAAACATTTGCATCCATTTCTTTGTATGGTCTCCTATGTGAGGAAAAGTGTCAGCAAGCGTTCTTTCTGGTTATGAACGGTCACCAGGAGCATATGTGATGGTTTCACACCCACTGGATCCTATTGGGAGTGCAGTCCTGTGAGGACACTTCGGGGGCTACTGGGTCTCTGGGTAGTTCCCAGGCCTGTGTTGGCAAGCCTCTACTGCAGTCAGCCCCGCTTGCCTCACGCTGCTCTTCCTTGCTGTTTTGATTACAAGACTCCTGGGGTTGCAACAAACCAGGTCTTTCTCCACATTCAAAACACAAGAGGAGTGATTTGGCTAGAGATTCTAGTTCTCCATAATCAGCCCGAGGTACTTTATTCCCACAGTTGCCAGCAGAAGCAGGGGGCTCAGTGAAGTCACTGTGAAGTTTGTGAGCCAGGCCGCAGAGAGTTTCAGTATAGCTTCTGAGACAATGCAGGTCACTGGGGCACCCTACACAAGAGGGAAAGGAAAAAGTGGGTTACCCTTTCCAGGTGCCAGCAGGTATTACCATTGCATAGACTCTAGGGGTCTCTTAAGTTAAAGCAGCCCACATGACACACCAAACCACTGATTGCCTCTTGGACAGGTACTCGACTTCCCTGACTGTACAGGCGGAAGTGCAGCCTTGTGTTACGCAGCACTTCACAGCCCAAGCTCCTACACTGGTAACTAATCTCACTGGAGTAATGTTCAGTGAGCTTTAGTTATAGCTCAGGCTGCAAGAGGGAGAGAGAGAGAGAGAGAGAGAGAGAGAGAGAGAGAGAGAGAGAGAGAGAGGGAGGGAGGCAGGGAGGGAGGCAGGGAGGGAGACAGACAGACATGTGTGGGTCCTTGGATTACACAGTTCCAGTTCCAGATCCCACTTGGGTCACTTACCTCTCAGTGCAGATGTAATAATCTCAATAGTTTTCTCCAAGCAATATTTTAACTTCAAGAATTCTGATGCAAGAGTTAACATCTTGGAACCTTGTTGTCTAGAATTTTCTTGTACTTGATTTCTGAAGCTTTTCTGTATAAACAAAATTTATATTTAAAAATATAGATATTATAGATTACATGGCAGCAAATTTAGTCAAAATGATCTTAATTGCCCAGAAATTTATCATTTGTTTGTTTATGCTATTATGACAATGAAACTACATTAATAACAAATTATATTGAAAATGTTTAATTTCCTCACCAGTGTATAACTTCATTTCTATAAGCAAGATAAAAATACAAAATGAACACTGATTATTATTATTATTATTATTATTTTATTTTTTTGGTTTTTCAAGACAGAGTTTCTCTGTGGCTTTGGAGGCTGTTGTGGAACTAGCTCTTGTAGACCAGGTTGGTCTCCAACTCCAGAGATCCACCTGCCTCTGCCTCCCGAGTGCTGGGACTAAAGGCGTGCGTGACCAACGCCCGGCTGAACACTGATTACTTTTTTTTTGACATGATGCTTATGAGTATTTAAATTTTTTTGTTCATTGCTTTTTCATTTCAGATTTTTTATTTGAATTAGAAACAAGATTGTTTTACATGTCAATCCCAGTTCCCTCTCCCTCCCGTCCTCCCCTACCACCCCCACAACTAAAACCCTACCTATCACATACCCTTTCTTCTATTCTTCCCCTGACTCAAGCTTTCTGCTCCCTCATGACCTCTGCATCCTTCCTCTTCTTCCCTTCTCATTCTCATAGCTCCCTCCCCCCTCTTCCTGTGCTCTCAATTTGCTCACACTGATTACTTTTAAAAAGCAGTAAGAATTTACTAGCACATAGGAACAGAATGAAGCAACAGCGCCATGGTACCCAACACCATAAAAGCTAACATTTAACCTCAAAGAATTCAGTTTCACAGGATTTACTTTCAATATTGACTTTACTTAAATACTCTTTGGCTTGGGCATTACTTTCCTTTCCAGGCCTGATTATCCCCTCTATCCTTTTCTATAAAGTGGATCTGTGACATGACACTACTTGAATTTAACTCTATTTGACACTATTTGAGCACATTAATTATAAAAAGTGGTTTTTTAGCCTATAATGACTATACTCAAGCAAAAGCTGGCAGCCCCTATGCCAGTAACTACAAACCAGGTGATGCACTGGGAAGTTCCTGTGCCATCGTGTACCTATTACTAACACGAGTGCAGTAAGACCACCAAAAGGAAACCTAGGAAACACACGTGCTCTGTTAACATGCACAACATAGCTGTCTCCAGCTATGACGCCAAGGAAACAAAAAGATCTACAACTGAAGCAAATGTGAACAAAAATTGACTGAAAGCCCATCTTACTAGTCTCCATTCAGCAAAGATGTTTGCCAGAGACCTGACCAGTTCCACAGCATTAGCCTTCATCCGCCTGGTGACCTACAGAAAATGTTAAAATATTTTGTTATACAAACAGTCATCAAGAGACATATCATTTTTAGACCTGTGTGAGACCAGACAGAGTTCTAATCTAGAATCCATAAGAGATGGAAGTTCCATCTCTGAGCTAAGCAGAAAATGGCTTTGAGACTACTTAAATCATGCGAATGGAATTTCCTTCGAAATAAATGACATTGATTCCATATCAAAAAAGCCACACTTGGGCTCAGCAGAGGCAGTCACTTGCTGCATAAGCCTGTGGACCTAAGGTTGATCCTGGAACTCCTCATTTAAGGTGGGAAGAGTGAATGAACTGACTTCTCAAAGTTGTGTTCTGATTGCCACATATATGTGATATGCAGGTCTCCACATGCACAATGCAATAATAATAATAACATAAACATGTTATAAACATATTTTATAAATTATAAATATAGTAAAATGTAAAATTGATTATAAATAAGATAAAACATAAATCTGATGTCTGCTACCAAAATGATGCCTGCATTTTATTTAAATATTTATAGGGATGAACGTCCCAAAATTTCCCTCAGAAGTGAGGGTGTGAGTTATTAAGCAAATATGAGATGCTCCGAGAACATTACAAGTTTGATCTGATTCTCAGTTACAACCTTATGCTGCCTATGGCATTTCCCATCTTGCAGACTGAGAATCAGATCCCGGACAGTAACCCCTAGCTCTCAGAAGCAGTGTGACTCAGACTAAACAATAAAGTTGCTTTCTGCTGCTCACTGTTGCCCCCGTCAGGTGGAACTAAGCTTCTGCAAGGGGATTCAGTGTTGTGTTTAATTGGCTTTCACTAAGCTCTTGTCTAGGTCAGCTCAAACTTGCTGTTACAGTAAGAAGATAAGTAGGCCATGGAGTGAGAGGCAGGGGGATTACTGAAAGGTTCAAGCCTGCCTGGACAACAAAGAAAGTTCCTGGCCAACCAGAACTACAAGGTAAGACTATCTCCCAAAAGAAGAAAAGAATGTAGGTATACCTAAATTCTTTACTTCAAGAACCCAGCTTTGAAGTCATAATTCCAGCCCTCTATTAGTCTACTTTCTATTTCTCTTACTATTTTTCTACTTCTTGGGTATTCCATTTTTTGCTATAGGTCCTTTTAAAAAGTATAATGTAATTCTGATTGTTATTTTATTTGTGTGTGTGCAAACACACATGAGGTCAGTGCCCACAGGCCAGAAGAGAGTGTGAGATCTTCTGGAGCTGGAGTGGAGGTGGCTGTGAGCTGCCTGAAGTGGGTGCAGAGATTCAAACCCACCTAATGAGTCACTGCTCCAGCCCCTGCCACAGGCTCTTACGACTTTTTTTTGTTTGTTTTTCAAGACAGGGTTTCTCTGTGCAACAGTCCTGGCTGTCCTAGAACTCACTCTGTAGACCAGGTTGGCCTCGAAACTCACAGAGATCCACCTGCCTCTGCCTCCCAAGTGCTGGAATTAAAAGCACGTGCCCAAACAAAAGAACAAAACACACAATCAAGAGAGGCAGACATATTCAGAGAATGCAAACGTACAATCGAGACCAGCAGTTTAGAATTTGCCAGCCACTGTTTCTAATATTTCTTTTTTTTAATTTTTAAAAGTTTTATTTTATGTGCATGGGTATTTTGCCTGTATGTATATCTGTGGACCACATACGTGGCTAATGCCCTCAGAGGGCAGAATAGGGCATCAGATCACCAGAAACTGGGGTTACAGACTGCTGTGAGCCACCATGTGGGTGCAGTCCTCTACGAGAACACTTGGGGTGTCTCTCCAGCCTCCACTCCTAGCATTGCTCGTGCTTCAGTGTCTGGAAGGAGGCAGAAGCACTTGGAGGACGTCACCGACATCTCCACTAGGTTCTGTGTCTATGTCTTGGTGTGAAACCACTGGTGTGAATGTTCCTGGAAAAATACTTAATTCAAGATGATTGGATCCATAAGTGATGGCTTCTGCTTTTAGGCAGAGGAGTAAAAAACCCAACAGAAAGATTGAGAAGGACGTCCAGAGAGTGGACAGTAGGTGTTGCTGCCACCCTCCATAGACCTGGTCTCTGCCTCTTCTTTAAAAACTAATTCAGCACAAATTAAAATACATAACATGTCACAATAGAACCCACTGCATCACACTATCATTTGGACATTTAAAGAAGTTTGGACAATATACATCCTAAAATAAAACCATTTTTAAGATCAAGTGTATCACCCCACCCATCTTACCTCCTCATGTGCACTCTGCCGTGAGAGGTTTCCCTCCAGGTCCTGGACTTTTTCCAGCCCAGAAGCTAAGAGGCTTTTTATCCCCAAGGCCATGCCATCCTGGAGGGCAGCTGTGAACTCCTGTTAGGAAAAGGGTCAGGCACTGAGCTGGTAAGCTCAGGTTTTACACATTAAAATTTGATTACATTGTGTGTACGTGTGAGAGAGAGACAGAGGCAGCCAGAGAGAGGGTGGTGGTAGAGAGAGAGAGAGAGAGAGAGAGAGAGAGAGAGAGAGAGAGAGAGAGAGAGAGAGAGCGCACATGGGGGTCACAGGACAACTGGCAGGAGTTGCTTCTTTATTTCTACCATGTGGCTCTAAGGGATGGACTGAGGAATCAGGCTTGATGGCTAGCACCTTCACCACTACCCATCTCATGTACATACTCTTCAAAATTACATGGTAATGAAGATATAATTCATTCCCAGTTTATTAAATTCAGCTAAAGTTAGTATGAGAACAATCCATGAGGGAAATAAAACTAACAAAATTAAAATTAGTATTCCATGTGCTATGGAAAAAATGTCCACTTTAGGTAGGACCTTATTTGCTAGGATATAATACATTTTAATACAGTATTGCTTATAGCATAAACAAGGTGGGCAAATACAAATATTCTATAGTTACTGTTTTCCCCATGTATAAACTGGATGAGACCACGCTCCACAGTTGATAGCAGTCATCAAACCATAGAACAAAAGGAACATCTTTTGATGTTTTTGAGATTGGTCTCACTAGCCCAAGCTGTCCCTGTTCTTCGATCCTCAACCCCTAAGTGCTAGGCAAGCACCCTATCCCTAGCACCAAAAGGATTGTTTGCTTTCTGAGACAAGGTCTTGCTGTCCTGGAACTCACTATGTAGTTCAGGATGGCCTTGAACTTACAAAGATCCACCTGCCTCTGCCTTCTGAATGCTGGGACTAAAGGTGTGTGCCACCACTGCCTAGCTCTGAAAGGATTGTAAAGACCTATAATCATCCAATCATATTTTAATCATTTTTGTTTGTTTGAGAAAGGCACTCATGTAACCCAGGCTGGCCTCAATAGCCAAGAATGATCTTGTCCTTCTGATCTTCCTGTCTGCCTCCTAAGGCTGGACTACAAATGTGTACTACCACATCCTTTATATAGTGCTAGAGCTCAAACTCATGCATGCTATGCAAAATACCAACGGAGGTACATCCCAGACTTATTTTATCTAATGTTGACCAAACTATTAAGTCATTGCCAAACTATTGCAAGTACAATGAACTTATTCTGTGCAGTGATGCTATCAGAAATCTCTAATGTCCCCGCAGAAGTCTTTTAGAGCTTACATTAGACATTACCCGGGCGCCAGGAATCTTGCTGCTATTCTCCAGAAGACAAAGCTTGCTCCCTTTCAAAACGGCTAGCTGACCCACACACTGAGCAGCTTGCTGTATAATCTGGACGACTTTGTTTTGAGCCTCTTGTATCATTGATGAAATATCTGAACAGCACCCCTAATGAAATAAAAATCAATCAGTCAGTATATACATATATGAGATTTTTAAGAGGTGAGAAAGAAAAAAGGGATAGTGGGTGAAGCTAGCAAGCATGAGGGGCTGCCCTTAAGGCCCCAATACCAGCTAAAAATAACAACAGAGCTGGAGAGAGCTCAGTAGACTAAGGGTACTGACTGCTCTTCCGGAGGACCAAGGTTTGATTCCTAGCACCCACAATAGGTAGTTCACAATCTTCTGGAACTGAAGTTCCAGAGGATCTGACACCCCCTTCTGTGCTCTGAGGGCAACAGGCACATATGTGGAACACAGGCATGCATGCAAGGAAATTCCATACACATCAAAATAAAATTCATAATGTAACAACCACTGGAATGCTCGTGAGAAACTGAAAGCATGCAGCCCTGAAGTTACTCATGAAGAAGAGCCAGCTTCTTCCTCCCTCAAAGACTTGACACAGTAAAGGGAGATGTAAAGCAAGTAACTTTGTACTTGGAAATGTCAGGACCCAAGACAGGATTGGTAAGGAAATGTCAGGAAGAGGAACAAAATGGTGTGACTTTGGCCTTTCAGCTTTAACTGTCCTGTTAACACCTAAATGACAGCCTTCCCATATGCGCTCAGTGCCCAGGCCTCCAAGGCACAGGAACATTCTTCTTTCTGGTCCTCTCTCCTGTGGCTCTGACAGTGCCCGCCTTGACCTGCTATATGGAAGACACTCATTATACCACTACAAGGTGCCAAGCCACACATTACTAGATAAGTATGCTGGCTAGCACTGGCTTCACACGAGTCTTCCCGAGCCCAATCCCAGTCACCCGGGTCTCCAGCCTTCATTCCTTGTATAGAATGTGTCTCACAAGCATGTGTGTTGAAACTCTTAAGTCAAGTTCAAAGCCTTCTTCCCGGAAAATAAAGAAAAGGAAAGAAATTCCATGGTACAGACTCCACCAGATATACTCTCTCTCTCTCTCTCTCTCTCTCTCTCTCTCTCTCTCCTCTCTCATCAATTTTTCTTTTCTTCGTCCTTTTTTTCATTTTTTTTCTTTTGAGCAGAGTATCTCTCATGGCTGTCTTGGAACTCGCTCTGTAGAACAGTCTGGCCTTGAAATCAGAGATATGCCTGCCTCTCAGGTACTCTCTTATACCATGATTTCATCTGATAATCACAGCAACCCTGCCAGGTAGACATTACTGTTTTTATTTTCAGGTAAGAAAATGGAGAGACTCAAGAAGCTAAGCAATTTGCCTAAAGACACAAATTAACATAGCATAGATTTAAACGTGGGATTTCAAATATCAACAATGAGTTCCTAGTTTGTGGGTATATTCCGCTCCCCCCTCCCATACACTACACACAAGCTGCCCCTCTTTCATTTCTACTACAGACTGTCCTGAGCTACATTCCTTCACCATACATACACACACACACTCTTAAACTACCCCTTTCATTTCTACCACAGACCATCCTGAGCTGTATTCCTTCGTTAGGGTTTAACCTAAGTCATACCCTCATTACAGAATGAGAGCTTTGCTCTCTGACCAACCCCATGCTTCCATGTTCATGGCTCTATGCTGTCAGATCTTCTTCACCTGAAGTCTGCCCACCTCTGTCTGTAGTCCACATGTTACATTCCTCTCTTTCCCTGATGTCCATATTCAAAGTAAGCCTTCATTTGATGTGAATTTAAGATTCATTTAACAGCAAATGTCCAACTAGCTTGCTATTACATCAAGAGGCCTTGTGAAAAGACACATGAGTCCTACACCTACAGAAAGCCAATGTCGCCGAAGCACACATGCTTATCAACAGTATAGTATATTAACAAGCATAACGAGTAGCTTTACTCAGGGCTAACAAAAAAACCAAACAAGAGAGGTACCCAACCAAACTGGAGAGACTAAGGAAGTTCTCCTGAGGGAAAAAACAATGGATAGTAAATATTTCCCTAACATAGCCCACTCAGGAAGTACTTGTCACAATAAAAATTACAAAAATGTGGCAAGTCTCGGGGCCTGTAAGAGGGCTGGCTTGGTGGGTAAAGGAGGCTTCCATCAAGCCCTGTGACCTGAGTTTGGTCTCTGGAACCTACATGGCAGAAAGAAAAAACTGACTCCTGAAGTTGCCCTGGACCTCCACGCATATACCATGATGTGCATGTATTGGATATCACTACATAAAACTTGACCAAATATTCTAGAAAGTTTAAATATCCACCTATTTGAGAAATTTTCATAGAGATCTCTGGTATGGCAACAAAGAGATATTTTTCAACATTAGTTCCCTACTTTTTCTACAAAAATGGAACCTTGATTTTTAACTTGATCCATAGGTACCTAGAATAAAAAAAAAAAAAAATCCACTTCTTGATTAACTATATGGCTAGATGCAGTCAGGTAAAATTCTGGCCAAGCATACATGAGTACTGTAGGACGTCTCATAAAAACTCCCTTTAAAGGAAGGGCCTTTCCTTGTCCACACCACACACACACAACTCAGACGGTGCTCTGTCAACTCAAACAGAGCATGAGGAGGTCAAGTCCACACTTCAGGCAGCAGAGGGGAGAGCAAGGAGTTGGGATCCCGCCTTTGTGCAGAAGAAACTCCATGCCTACCTCTGCATTCTAGCAGACAGAAAACAAGCTTTACTTTTGTCTTGCGTCCTCCTGGTGGCCAAACCCAATGTTACTTGACACAAAGTAAGCAAGAAACAAAACCTGAAATCAACAGGTTTGCTATGAATTTAGCATGAGCTGAAAGCCAACCCACAGTCAGAGCAAGACTCTACCTCTCTCTACCCAGTTGACCTTAACTGGAGGCTAGCAGACTATAACCAACCAGGACAGCATGCATTCAAAGCCACTCCTATTACCCAGTAGCTACAGAACACTGGCTGAGCTAGTCATTTCCCAAGCCTCTACTTCCTCATCTATAAAATGGTGACAGCAGCACCCATTTGAGGATTGTCATGAGGACAAAATGAACCAGTTATCTGCAAACCACTTAGGACACAGAGGACACCAAATTTTTGCTCAATAAACCAATTGCATCTAGACCTAGGACCCCAAAACAGGAAGCACCCGGAAATCCTCAGAGGTAATTTTAGTGAAGATACAGGTGGTAGAGAGCCAATAAATACTTTCAGAACAAATGAATTCTTCAAAAATAAAAAATCAATGTACCTGCAAAAACAATTGTAAATAGCCTCCCAGTTTTTTAATATCTTGTCTCAATTCATCTTCAAGCCTCGTTGAGCTGGTACCAGGTGGAAAATCATCCAGCCAGTGTTTGAACAAAACCACGAGCTGCTCAAAGGCACAAGCAATCTGGACAGTGAATGCCTGTGCTGCCCGGTCAGAAGAGAACACTGGGAAAGAAGAGGGAAAATTACTGCAAGGAATAGCGTCCAGATAAAAGAACTCACGTACTGGCACCATTAAAGCAGCTAAACATAGTCGAGAGATGCATCAAATAATCATCCCAAAACAAGAGTAAAGGGCAGAGAATCCCTGTCATGGGGGTTGGCAGAAGCAGTAGAATTACTTACAGTTATTTTGACTTTCTTCATCCTGTTCTTCATGGGCTTTGGAAATGGCAAACAGTCCATTATAAAGTTTAAGGAGATTATTTATCAGGCTATCTGCTATAGTTTTTTCTTCATCATAACTCTGTCCAAGAAAGTCTATTGATGAACCAATCAATTCTTTGCAAATTCCAGGAAGAAACGATTCTGATGAATTTGAGTAAATGGTGTTTGATTTTTCCATTAAACCTACACCAACAGAAAACAGTCAGTGTAAACCTAGTTTCAAGCATAATACTTTCAAACAAACGCACAAATGCAGGTATACTGAAGAATCATTGGTCAGTAGTTCAAAGCATTCTTATTTCTATACACCAAGACGAAAACAATTCCAGCTAGGGACCAATTAACCTCTCACTAGCATGAGCCCACAGGCTTTGTATTTTTTCCGCCTTAATATAAGTAACTAGAGAATCAAAATATCCCATGTGCCTACTCACTTAAACCTTTCTTTTCTTATTTTTATGTGCCTGGGTGTTTTGCTTGCACACGTGTCTGAATTCCATGTACATACCTAGTATTCATGGAAGGCAAAGAGATCACCAGATCCCCTGGAACTGATGTTCCAGACAGTTGTAAGCTGCTATATAGGTGCTGGGACTTGAACCCTGGTCCTCTGGAAGAGCAGCCAGTGCCCTTAATTGGCTGAGCCATCTATCCAGCCCCTCACTTAACCTTTCTATACTTGATAGCGATGACTTTTTCTCAACACCCATGCAAACTAACTCATAAACTAGAAACTGGGCCACAATAAACTGGATAAAAAGAAATGCCTCAGAACCTTCTGTTTAGAAGAGCTCTTCCCAGGGTATACTACAGTCAGAACAGGCCTAAGCTAATTGATTATCTGCAGCTAACAGCACATTTCTGGGAGATGGGCTTGCAAAAACAAACAAACAAACAAACAAACAAAAAAACCACCACTTTCTAAGTACTGACAAAGCAGAAGTAAACGGAAAGGTGCAAGAGCTCCTTCAGGATTCCAGCAAGTAACCTTATACTGGAGCATATAGCATTCGTGCATCGTGATTCTCAACTAAAATGCAATGTTCCCTGGTCTAGTCCACAGGGGACTAGAAGAAGAATACTAAAAAGGCAGAATAAAGGCAGAAGATGGGGAATAGCAAATGCCCAGAACAAGGATGAGAGCTTGACTTGGAAAGGAAAGCACAAAAGCCCAATCTGAAGCTACAGCTACAGTGAATGTATGTCACTATGACATGACACTAGAGTTATTTACCCAAGACAGCTAACTATATATGTTCTCTAAGATTGATGTATTCTACAATTCAATGCAAATATTTTAGATCTGTAAAAATATCGTTAAAAAATATTATAGGCTTTGAGTTGAGAAGTTACATTCCCAAAGCTAGAAAATGTCACGTCCTAGGTGCAGCAACCTCTCCCTTAGGCTCCTACTGAATGTTCAAAGAACATTTCCTCCTTCTCCCAACTGTTTCACTAAATAGCTCCAGGCTGGCCTTAAACTCATCATCTTTCTGTTTAAACCTTCTGAGTGATTGCCAGGATTACATTATCTACCACCATCCCAGCTCCATGTCTTGGAAAACTTCAAATAAGCAAGGATCTCATATTTGACTTAAAAACACTTTTATAAAAAACCTGACTTTTGCTATTGAATAAATAAGTTTTACTGTGTGTGTGTGTGTGTGTGTGTGTATGTTTGTGCATGTGTGTGCTCACACCAACATACACATAGCCAGTGGATAACATCAACAAGTCCTAAGGATAACATCTATTTCCCTCTATTCCCATCTATTTATTGAGAAAATAACAAAACCAAACCCAATTTTTTTTTGAAGATGAGCTATAGTTCCTTTTATTCTTATTCATATTCTATCAGGACCTTTACCAAATAGATTCATATATTAAATAGTAACTTTCAAACTTAAAAAATTAATTGTTTATTTTATTATTTTATGAGTATAAGTACTTTGCCTACATGTATGTCTGTATCCTGTGTGCATATCTGGCAGATGGCATTAGATCCCCTGGAATTGGAGTATAGTTCTGAGTCACCATGTGGGTACTGGGAATTGAACCTGAGTTCTTTGTATGAGCAGAAGTGATCTCAACTCCTGAGCCTGCTTGTCAGACCAATCACTTGGAACTCTTTATAAGGTTCTATATATAATAAGGTGCTCAGTGGTGCAGTGTTTGTCTAGCATGCTTACGGCCCTGAGTTCAACCCCCACACAAACCAAAACTAATTCTTCCCTTGTCCAACACACACACACACACACAGACAAGCAGCACTCTTGAGCTATCAGCAGTTTTTGGAGGGTCTTAATCATTCAAGCATCTACATACACGCCTTCTTTCATTTCCTCTTCACACACATCAAAGTATATGATATATACTCTGGTATTTCTCCTAAGGAAATAACATCTAAACATATTTTCCCATATCTGAATTAGCCACTCCACTAAAAGGCTTTAAAATAAACCAGAATTTGAGAAACAGAACAGCTATTCAATTCACATCTTCATTTTATAAAGGAAACACCGCTGCTAAGACATAAAATGATGTTCCCAAGACCACAGAGTGGAATTTTGTTACTACACGGACAATCTGATGAAAGCAGTACCTGATGAGTGTGAAGAATGCAGATTCTGAATCGGAGGGACCTGTATGTCATGCAAACAACCAGAAATTCTCCCATTCTTCATCAAACTTCTGCTCCTGAACCAAAGACAACCATAGGATTAGCTGCTATATAGCACGGGAGCATTAAGAATGTTGCAGCTGGCCAGACGTTGGTGGCCCACGCCTTTTAATCCTAGCACTCAGGAGGCAGAGGCAGGTGGATCTCTGTAAGTTTGAGGGCAGCCTGATCTACAGACCTTGTGCCAAGATAGGCTCCAAAGCTACACAGAGAAACCCCATCTCAAAAAAGAAAAGAAAAAAAAAGAATGTGGAAACACATAATCCCAGCACTCAGAAGGCTGACAGAAGACAGAGACTTTGAGGCCAGTATGGCCTACATGAGACCCTGTCAGGGTGGATGGGGGTCAGGGAATATTCTAACATAGGCATGCATACGTGTTCATCCAACAAGGACTGACTCATTTCCATTTCTGAGCAAGAATTTTCCTATGTGCAGACACTGCCCTAACATAATTCACGAAATGGGATAAGTGTTCTTGTGCACTATTACTTAGGCTCTGAACACGGTTGTATAACCTGGCATCTGGCCACAGGGAGAAAGAAGCCTGGCACCTAGTTCAATGAGTCCTATAGGGCAGAGAGTGCTTCAGTAGTCTGGGCAGTGGAGTTGGCACGGCATCTTGGAACAGTGACCAGTGAACAGTGAAAAATAAGCACAGGCTAGCCAAGGAGGGGGCAGACTTGGGAAGCAGGGATAGTATCTGAGACACAGGCATGGGACAGGGGAAAACTGGGTAGTAACCCATGCAAAGAACCAAGCACTGTGCTGTCCATGAAGTATGGCAGAGAGGGGCGAGGGGATATGGCTGGGAGATGTGCTAGGACCAGCCTGACTTATCTAGTGGAGGAATTTAAAGAGGGAAATGACCTAGGCTAAAAAAAAAAAAGAAAAAAAAAAAAGCATCTAAGCAGACCTTGTGCAAAGCATGCCTGTGAGAGCAACTGCACCTGCACAGTGCCCTCAGCCTACAAATCACAGGCTTTCCCTTTACCTTGAGAACGGAACTCTCTGAGCAGTGGGTGACCTAACCCTAAATACAGGTGACCCTCTGGTATCTTCCTAGTCATACATCTAATACTGTTGACTCACCAAAAGAAAATACTGTTTATTGAAAAAGATTGTTAGCTCAAAGTATTCTGTCCACGAAACCTTAAATGTTCCAAATATAACCCTCCTGTGAATTCTCACAACAATAACGAAACCACAGAAATATGACTGAAGATAAAGGGGTACTATCAATTTCCAAGTATTTGTTTAGAGGTAAAAAGAAAAAGTAAGTTAAGCTAGGGAAAGTATTATTCTTTCGACATTGTCACATTAAACAATGTTTAAACTAAGAAAATGCTTGTCACATTCCTTTCAAAGAGTTTTCATTCAACCTGATAGAAAATTTACTTTTAACTGTCGACCATCGTATGATTTACAGGTGGCCGGACCAGGCTGTTTTATTGCGAAGCAGCTGCAGTACAGCAGTGCCAACGGTGACTCTACAGCAATCAGTCAGCATTCCCATTACCTGCAGGCATTCTCAGAGTTTGGAGTCTGTCATAAACATTCTTACAAGGTTGAAACTTCATGCACAAGGTCTCAGACTAAGAGCAACTCATTTTAAAAAAATATGATACCGTTAAATTACAGAAGTTCTCAAAAGTATTTGTCAAATGAAAACACCTGATTTCAAAATCTTGAAAAATAGGAACAGGAATTTTGGTCTTTGGGGTCACATTTTAAAACTTGTTTGATTCTTAATTGTTAACCCCTTCTTCAGCAGATGTAAGAATCACCAACATTCAGTAGGCTAAACACTAGTGTTCTCTGACTAATGACCATATTGTGGTCCACAACGCTATTTTCATGAAGCTTATACTTGTTTATAATGAACTCTTTTCTTACGGTTAAGAAGCTAGTGATCCTAAAACCCAAAGGGTTCCATAACAATTCTTTGGTTTGTTGGTCTGGTTGAAATTTGGAGAAGGTCATTACTACTCTAGGTTGACCTACTTATCTTGAGCCCTTTACATCCATTTCTATCAAGGACCATCCTTAGGTCACTTCAGTGATACAGCCCAGTAGTATCTTTCAGCCTTAAGTCAAATCACCTGTAGACCTCACTATCTGTTCACCAGTACTGGATCAGAAATTCTATCTTCTCTATGCCAGAAGAGGGCACCAGATCTCATTACAGATGGTTGTGAGCCACCATGTGATTGCTGGAATTGAACTCAGGACCTCTTGAAGAGTTCTTAACCTCTGAGGCATCTCTCCAGCCCCAGAAATTCTATCTTCTCTATATTGTAACATTAAGAAGAGTCTTTTCTCAGTGCTCAAGATTAAATGCAGGATCTCATGATGCTAGATAAACGCTTTACCTCAGACCTAAGATTTAACTATACAGGTATGCTAAACCTCAGCAACAGTCTAAGCAACCGTTACTGGACAGCACAGTAAAAGTTTACACACTTCATCTCCTACCCTCGTTATGCTCTGCAGCATTGTTCCCAAGCTGCAATCATAGAAGTCGCTGAGGCAGCCAGGGTAGCAGGTGTGCTACAGGAACCAATGCCTGGAGATGCTGCCCAGCATTCTGGTATTAGGGCTGTGACCTTTTCGCTACATTACTGTTGAGGGATGCAGATACGCTCGCCCTCTCTCTGTGTAAAAGGAGTTCAAGGTCTGTGTGGAGAATCTGTGATGCACATTTCACTCAGGATAATTCTGGTGATGTCTCAATTTTTTCATTTATAAAATGGATAGTCATAACAACACTTGACCTCGGAGGTCTGTGGTGAGTACTGGATGAGATCATCTTATCAAGTATTCAGTAAATGTTCTGCTTGTTGGTGGTTTTTTGCTTATTTTGAGACAGGGTTTCTTTATATAGCCCTGGCTATCCTGAAATTTGCTATATAGACCTGAATGGCCTTGAACTCACAGAGATCCTCCTACCTCTGCCTCATGAGTGCTACCACCAATGATAAGCTTGTTTGTTTAAGACAGGATCTTGCTGGGTGGTAGTAGCACACACCTTTAGTCCCAGCAATTGGGAGGCAAAAGCAGGGGAATCGTTAAGTTTGATGCCAACCTGATCTACACAGAGAGACCTTGTCTCGATAACCAGCCCCCAACCCTGAAAAGAAAGACAGGATCTTACTACATTACCCAGGGTAGGCAAGCTCCTCTTGGCTCAATTCCCCCATATTGAGCTCCCAGGAACTCCCCACATCACCAGGCTGATAAGTATTCTTGGTGATGACAATGCTCTGTGGTTGGGGCAATGCTACTGATGTTCATACCCTGAAAACTCCCTCACCAACACTCCAGACTAAACACAGACTTAACATCTGGTGGAAACCTCAGTCATCATAACCAACAGGAAAGTTACCATCCATCTCAAATATGTGTAAAATGGTGTTCTCTCCAGTTTTGTTTACCTAGTGCCTCTCCTCTCTCTAATGCCTGGTTCATGAGGACAGGGAGGATTTCACTTACCTGGGATTCTTCAGAACATGGTAGCCATTATAGAAATATTTGTTTTTAATAAATAATAACAACAACAAACACAGTTTTAAAGGGCCGAATGTTCCAGGCTAAGGCCTTTCCCTACCATTTGCTTCTACACTAAGAGCATTCGAGGTCTAAGCAGAGCGAGGTTTTCCATGAAGAACATCTACCCACTATGGACAGTTTTATGTTTTGCTCTGATAGACAACACTTGTCATATATAGATGTTCTGTATCACACTGATTTATTCTTTTGTGGTGCTCAGACTAACCTGATTGTATTTAAATGTGTAACTTACAATAAAATATCAGAACATGTCAAATTCTTGAGATGTTAAAAGTAATGCAATTCCTTTTTCTTTTCTAAGTGATTTATTTTCATTTTAAGTGCATTGGTGTTTTTCTTGCATGTATGTCTGTGTGAGGATGTTGGATCTCCTGGAGCTGGAGTTACAGACATTTGTGAGCTGCCATGTGGGTGCGAGGAGTTGAACCTGGGTCCTCTGAAAGAGCAGGCAGGGCTCTTAACTGATAAGCTATCTCTCCAGCCCTACAATGTTATTCCTTTTTTAGATAGGAAATTAGACTTATGCCACTCTAGGCTGCTCTTAAAACTAGTATGACAAAATGCTAAACAGTTTTGTTCATAAAGTGAACTAATAAACAATGTAATGCTATATTTACTGTAATTCGATCACTAACATTAATGCCACTTATATTTCTCGGTCCCTATTACAGACATTTGACAGTAGTTCTCTTAATTTTACATATGCATGTATATATTAATCTGTAACTTAAATACTTGTACATACACAGAACAAGAAAAGCAATAATAAAAAAAAAAACTTTACCTCCTTCTAGAAAGGGAAGAAACTGGAGTGCTCGTAATGTCAGGTTCCCACTCATCTTCAGGATCACAAAAGACATCCTCAGCCCTGTTACCACCATCACTCTAAGAAAAGTAAAATACAGCCTTTTCATTAATTGTGATGTTTATAATTCAGCAAAAAGGCGTAAATAACTTTATTACTTTAAAACATAAAACTAGCAAATTACATGTTATCTGCTTAGTCATAAAATATATTACTGATCAAATTTAAAAAAAACTAAATTATAATAAAAAGTATATGCAGATGTCATTATAAAAATTCATTATTTTGTATGCTAACCTAAAAACCATTATTTTGAAAGCTAACCTAAACAAACTAACCATAACAACAAAAACCCCAATTACATGTGATGCTGGGAATTAAAATAAGTCTTATAAAAACAATCAAAATTATTAAATACTTCAAAAATAGTAATCTGGACTGGGGAGATGGCTTAGGCAGTAAAATTGCTACCTTGTATGCACAGGACCCGAATTTGATTCCTAGAACCCACGTAAAAAACGTAGGGTGTGAAGGTACACAGTTGTAATCCCAGTGCTAGGGAACTAGACTGGTGGATCTCTAGGGTCCACTGCTGGCCAGCCTAGTCTACTTAGTGAGCTCTAGGATGAGAGGTCACATCTGTAAGGGGAAAGTGGATGATGCCTGAGGCGGTCCTCTGGCTGGCTTACACACACACACACACACACACACACACACACACACACATACACACACACAGAAATAAAGTTAAATTTAGGGAGCTGAAGAGACACTTCAGAGGGTTAGAGAGTCCCTGCTCTTTCAGAAGACCTGGGTTCTGTTCCCAGCACCCAAGATGGTGCTGTTAATTCCAGCTCCAGTCCACACATATGTGCACATATAACATAAAGGCACATAGATATATAAATAAAAATAAAATAAATCAAACAACAACAATTTTTTAAAAACCACTTGCATTTGGAAGAGACAGTTAACAGTAAAACTCAGGGAGAGAGAAAATAATCTGGCAGTGTTACGGTGCAATCCTGGATTGGGGAAATGTCTCAGTGATAAATAATTGCTTGCTTAATTCATGTGAAGTCTTGTATCTCATCCCCTGAACACACACACACACATTACTTCTTGGTTGAATATACTAATGATAATCTATATGTTAGATATTTAAGCAAGCTCAATTAAAATTCTACCTACATCCATACTACAGAGCTTGATTCAGAGAGTGCAGCATGTGTAAAAACTAAGTAAAGAACTTTGAAGATAGGATGGAGAAGTGGCTCAGAGGTTAAGAGCACTGACTGCTCTTCCAGAGGTCCTGAGTTCAATTCCCAGCAACCACATGATGGCTCACAACCATCTATAATGAGATCTGGTGCCCTCTTCTGGCATGCAGGCAGAACACTGTATACATAATAAATAAATAAATCTTAAAAAAAAAAAAAAAACCAAGCAAACCTAAATTGCTGTTATCAGAGTATTAGACACATTAAAAAAAAAAACCCACAATGTCTAAGAACTTTGAAGAATATGTGAAAGCAGGAAGTCAGTTCAACAATGAGCTACATACAAGGGTTTAGTGTGTGCATCAGGACAAGAGTGAGCAAATGCCTTCAATGCTGTTTTAAATACATTCGTTATTGTAAAATCAGAAATTATTAATAAATAGAAACACAAATAGAAAGTAACCCCTCACAGGCCCCCCCATGTAGATAGAAACAGTCACTGCTCAGGGGTTCTCAGGGGTTAAGAGCACAAGCTCCTCTTGCAGAGGACCTGGGTTTGGATCCCTGCACCCACATGGTAGCTCACAACCATCTACAGTTCCAGTTCCAGGAGATCTGATGCCCACTTCTGAATCTGGAGGGCACCAGGCATACATGTGGTACACACAAACACATACAGGCAAAACACATACTTAAAAAAAAAAACAAAGGAATATACTTTGCTTTCCAGGAATAAACACTCCTTGCTCATGGTAGAAGTTTTTTTCATTCTTTGGTTTTGTGTGTTTGTTTTTATTTTTTTTAAAAAGGTCATTCAGATTTGGTTTGGTTTGGTTTGGTAGGTTTCATTCAGGATTTTTCTAGTTATGTTCATATTAGTCTTCTGAGTGCTAGGATGTATGTGCCACACACACAGTTGTTTTGTTTTGTTTTTAGTTACTCTAAGCATCATAAGATGAACTGCGACAGGTTCTACAATACTTCACACAAAACAGGGCTTATCTTTTCCCTGGCGCCCTGAAAGTGTGCGCTGATAAAGTTGACTGGAATCAGTACCTTTTTATTCCTCTCTGTTTCTTCCTCTTTCTACCCTCTAGCTCATTCTTTTTAGTTTTGTTTTAGTTTTTTTGGCCACACTCTCACGTGTTTCAGACTGTTTTCTATTATGAAAGGCTATCCCTGCACCACTGATCTGATAGCCTCAGCTTCTGATGTGCTGGGATTACTGGTATGCACTACCACAGCTGGCTCTCACTTGTTTTTTTAAAATCATTGTTTTTTGAATCTACTTCATTGACAAACTTTTAAAATTATTATATGGCTGTTCCTCCATTAAGCCATCTTTCATATCATTTCCTAGAATATTTTTCTTTTCTAGAAGACTAAAATTTAGGGGGCTGGAGAGATGACTCAGAGGTTAAGAAGACTAACTGCTCTTCCTATAGGTCCTGAGTTCAATTCCCAGCAACCACATGGTGGCTCACAACCATCCGTTATGAGATCTGGTGCCCTCTTCTGGCCTGCAGTTACGCATGCAGACAGAACACTGCATACATAATAAATAATATTTTTTTAAAAAAGAAAAAGACTCAAATTTAATATATAGGGAGGGCTCTTAGGCAACATACCATAAGAGATACTTCAACATCCATGCACATTGCTAGAATATTTACAATACTACAATTACCAGGAAATGGAAACCAGCCTAGATGTCCATCAAAAGATGAATGTATAAAGAAAATGCAATATATATACACAATGGAATTTTATACAACTGCCAAGAACACTGAAATCATAACATTTGCAGAAAAATGAATGGAACTGGAAATCATTATGTTAAGCAAAATAAACTAGATTTAGAAACACAGTGGTATTTAGTTGTTTTCTCTTATATGTGGAACTTAGATTTAAAATTGTGTGTGTGTGTGTGTGTGTGTGTGTGTGTGTGTGTGTACATATGTATAATAGGGGATCATGAGAAGGTAGGAGGAAGAGATCTAGCCAAGGGGAGAAAAAGAAGATGGTGATGGAATACACGTGACACAAAAGCAAAAGAGATTTAGAGGGGAAGGGGACCAGCCACAGAGTCCTGCCAGACAGAAAGGGCAGAGAAATGAATGAGAACAAAGCATAGTAACACACGCACGCACACACACTAAAAAGTATAAACAGATAATATGGACAGCGAGGTAGCTCAGGGGTTAGGGCATTTGCTGCAAAGCCTACTGACATGAGTTTAAGCCCCAGGACTCAAATGGTAGAAAGGGAGAATCAGTTCTGCCCTCTGACATTTACACCCACACACTGCCTGCCTCTCTTACACACACACACACACACACATACATACACACACACACACACACACACACACACACACACACATAAATATAATAAAAGTAAATAAATCTAAAAAGGCATAAAATTATATTGGTGATATAATTTTTAACTGATCTTGTTATCTTAATTTAAAGACCATTTGTGCTTTTATTTTTTGAGACAGAGTCTCATACATGAAGAGTTAGCCTTGTACTTTCTATATGGTCAAGGATAACACTGAACCCCTTGGATTCCTGAGAGCTAAGATTACAATAAATGCCATCTTTCTTTAAATCATACACTTTTTCAAGTCTCCAAAGATCTAATTCCTTAGTTGCCACTTTTTTTTTCCTCACCAGTATTCCTTTACTTACTTTCCTCTGACTTATTATCTTCTAGATTGAGTTAATTATCTTCACTTTTGGTTAACTAATTCACAAATTAAAGCTATTACAACACCCTCTAGGCTTAACATATAATATTTTCATTAATATTGAGCATTATATAAGCACTTAGAGTGTAATTCTAGCAGTCACATAATTTAAACATGAGATATCTGACAAATATTAGTACTACAATCTAATATGTTGCAATTACTTTAGGGATAATAAAATAACAACATAAAAGAAGATAACTCAAGTTAATACCTCAAAAATACCATAATAATTTTCTTTAAAAAAAAAAATCTTGCATAGTGGTTTACACCTGTAATCCTAGCAGGAGAGTCTCTGCATTTTAGGACAACCAGGGCTACCTAGAGAGACTTTGTTTCAAAAAACCAAAACAATTTGTAATCACATATGTGTGTGTTTGTGTGTGGGCAAGCAGTACAGCTACCCGAGGAGGCTGGAGTTTTTGAACCCTAGGGAGCTGGAGTTACAGGTGACTGTGAGCTGCCCAATGTAGGTGGGAAGAAAACTTGGGTCCTCAGCAAGAACAGTATGGGCTCTTAACCACTAAGCCATTTCTCTAGCCCAAATTTTATCTTATTCAAAGACATAAACCTTAAAATAAAAATGTAGAAGATTGAACAATGGCCCAGTAAATTCTCTGAATTAAAATACATTCATACACAAATTAAAAATGGCTTAAATAGTCAGATGTGGTGGTGGACCCTTCTAATTCCAACAGGTAATAGGATCAGAAGTTTAAGGTCATCTTTAGCTACACAGCAAATCCAAGCCCAATCTGTGCTATATGACATCCTATCTCAAGATGAAAGAAAACAAGCAGAAAAGAAAAAGCCTATATAACAAAATAAAACCAGTAAGAAGCTCACACAGAGGTGGGGAAATGGCTCAGTTAAATGTTTGCTAGCCAAGCATTAGGACCTGAATTTGCAAACTTAATTTGGGGTCTCAGATCTGGAGAAACAGACAGGCAGATTCCTGGAGCTCAACAGTCAGTCATCTAAGCTGAATTATGAGCCCCAGGTTCAGTGACAAACCTTACCTGCAAAAATAAGGTGGAGAAAAATCAAGGAAGACACCTAACATCGAAGTCTGGTCTCCACCACACACCTTTGTGGATGTGCAAACACACACACACACACACACACACACACACACACACACACGTGCCATACCACAAAAAGATCACATAATCAGGATGTGATTAGAATGAATAATTAGAATAAAAACAAAACACCAATTAACAAAACTTTTGTCAGGCCCGGTGGCACATGCCTTCAACCCCAGCTCTCCAGAGGCAGAAGTAGGTAAGTCTGTGAGGCTGAGGTAGACTGGTCTACACAGATAATTCCAGGCCAGCCACGGGGGCCAAAGGAGGCCCCGTCTGGGAAAACTGGAAGAAGACAAAGGATACTTTACCATAAAGAAGCAAAGTTAAACCTCAACTTCCCTAGTTACTAAAATACAAAGTGAAACACATGCCTAACATTAGTTTGTGGCAACATACCGTACTTCATTACCATTTTGGAAAATATAAGGCAAGAAAACACATGTTAAAAAGTAACAAAAAGATGCTTTTGACTGTGATCAATGAAAGCAACAATTGGAAACACCCAGAAGACAACAATGGGAAAATACATAGGATAGGGAGATGATTTCAGACTGTGACTTGCTGAAGCGCAAATGCAAAGCTTGTAAAGCACACAGTTTTAAAGACAGATTCAGCACTGAATCACTGTCAGACTTAAACTGTGTTGAAGCAAATCAGAAAAACTCTGCTGGCATGCGCAAGGAAAGCAGACTCACACCGCTGTGCATGCTGAAATAAAAGTTGTTTGGAAAAATCCAGGTGTAGTTGCTTTGTATGCTGTGATGGGTAGGAGAGATGAAGTGAAGTGTGAAGGCCCCTCACACCCTCCATCTTGCCTCAGACTATGTCCTGGAACCCTGGGGCGGAGAGCGCTACTTTCATGCCTGCTTCTTGGGATTGTTGACTGCCACGCAGTGATAGAGAACTACAAGCAAGAAAAGCGACACGCCCAGCATGTTGGCGAAGATGGCGAGCTGCACGTCCGTGATCATCCTGACTAGCTCCACTCGGCTCCGACGCCCCTGCTGTACGAGCTCGCTGGGGATTTCAGTAACCCATGGGTTTCCCCTTCTTGAACAAGATTGTGCCACTTCTGTATTTTATTTGGGGAGGAGCAGAGAGTCTGACAGGGTCTCACACAGTCTGGCCTCAAACCCACTATGTAATTGAGATGGGCCTCCAACTCCCTATCTTTCTGCCTCTGCATCTCAAGTGCTGTGATCACAGGCATGCATGACCATACCCAGCTGCATTTTAAGAAGTGAGCACTAATAAATGTTAAGTCAAAGATGGCAGTTAGTAAGTTATTCATGTGGTACAATGAAACTTACTAACAAAAATCTTTTTTTTATAACATAATCATGTATATTTATTTACGTGTAATTTCATGATCTCTTTTATCAGCAATTATTTTTACAAAGCTAATATATATATATATATATATATATTACACATATACACATATGTGTGTGTGTTTGTGTGTGTATAAAGACCTAATTAAATTAATATTAGATTCCTTCTTTTTTGTACTTGGTGCCTTTTGTCCTTCCATTACAAAAATCTTAAATATTTTTCTTTATATTGTACTGTTTGGGCTATTCGAAGTTGGGCAAGCAAAAGGGATTGTGCTATTAACAACACTGAATTTACTGACATTAAGAGTTCATTATTTAGCCAGGCGTTGGTCACGCATGCCTTTAATCCCAGCACTTGGGAGGCAGAGGCAGGTGGATGTCTGTGAGGTCGAGACCAGCCTGGTGTACAAGAGCTAGTTCCAAGACAGCCTCCAAAGCCACAGAGAAACCCTGTCTCGAAAAAAAGAAAAAAAAAGAAAAAAAGAGTTCATTATTTTCTTTAAAGTTCCAGTATTTTTAAGTTTCATAAATAATATCTATGATCATGGAACTACTAGGGCTTGTAAAAGTTAAGCACCTGGTGAAGGGTTATGTAAGCACTAATGGCTATTTACACTACCCAGGGATGAGCCAAGGCGCCAGTGTCTTGCGTTTCTGGAGTCTTAAGGTAGAATACAGAAATTCTGTAAGGGAAAGATCCCTGAAAATAATTTCAAAAGACACTTACAAAACAGTTCCCAACATATCCCACAAACTAAGAAAATATTTAAAAAACTGTTATGAAGTACACTTGTTACAATTTTAAAATAAATTTATTATCTTTCTAAAGAAAAAAAAAAGAACACTAGCTGCTCTTCCCGAGACCATGGATTCCATTTCCAGGACTCACATGGTAGCTCACAACCCTTTGTAACTCCAATCCCAGGGGATCCGACACCCTTTTCTGACGCTGAGGGTACTAGGCACACATGTTATGCACACAGACATTCATGCAGGCAACACACACACACACACACACACACACACACACACACACACACACACACGTAAATAAATAAATAAATAAATAAATAAATAAATAAATAAACAAATATTTTAAAAACAGTTTGCAGAGATTTTACTGGGCAGTGATGGTAAAAAGCCTTTAATCCCAGCACTCAGGAGGCAGAGGCAGGTGGATCTCTGTGAGTTTGGGACCAGCCTGGTCTACAAAAGCTAGTTCTAGGACAGGCTCCAAAGCTACACAGAGAAATCCTGCCTCGAAAAAACAAAAACAAACAAAAAGTTTACAGAGATTTTAATATCACAAACCTCATAAAACTCTTTCATTGCTGCAAGTTTAGATTCAAACTTTTCCAGACTCCAGAAAGTTGAGATCCCAAGCTGCAGGTTACGAACTCGAACAGAAGTATCAGAACGACCTCTGTCTGATGTATCGTGCCTGGAAAAAAAAGTCAAAGGGAAATCTTAACCTGAAACATAAAAACACTCATGGGGGCAGAGACATGGCTTAGTGGCAAAGAACACACCACTCTTCCAGAGGGCTCAACATTGGTCTCAAGCATCCACACTGCACAAGCACCTGTAACACTAGTTCCAGGGACCCTGACATCCTTTCTGGTCTCCAATAGCTACTGTGTGCACATGGTAGATGTAAACTCATATAGGTATACACACATATACATTATAAATAAATAAATATTTTAAAAAGCTGGATTGCAAGCCTGGGTGGTGTGACTTAGTGATATAGTACATGCATAGCAAACATGAGGCCATGGATTCATCTCCAGTACAACAAAAATAAAATAAAAATGGTATGCAGATAAACAAAATAACCAACCTAAATAAAAAGCAGTAAATTCTTTAAAATGAACTACTCAACCTCTGTGTCAGGGAGTATGGTATCTGCTCTTTCCTGGAAAGACTTCAGAGAAACTTAAATGAAAAATGTCAAGTACAAACAGGTTATCGGGTATAAAAACTACTCACCTGCCAAAAACATAGTACTTTTTAAATCTGTCACTGATGGCATTAGCTTCCTGGATCATCATGGAGAGTTTCATGGAGCTCCAATTTGGCTGAACTAAGACAAAGTATACAAATTAGAACCAAAATGCATGTCTGATCACTAGCATATATCACTAGCTAGAATAATTTCATAAAAATACTGACATTAGGGGCTAGAGAGATGGCTCAGTGGTTAATACCACTGGCAACTCTTCCAGAGGACCTGGGTTCAGTTCCCACGTGGCTGCTCATGACCAACCATCTGTAACTCTGGTTCAAAGGGACCTGATGCCCTCTTCTGGCCTCTGTGAGCAACATACATGAACATGGTACAGAGATATGCATGTAAGCAAAACATATATAAAAGGTAAAATATAAAATGTAAAATAATATTGAAAATGGCATTAAGTGAATGGTTTTAATCTTGTATCAACAAGCTTTTTGTTTGTTTGCTTGCTTGTTTTTTGTTTTTGAGACTGGGTTTCTTCGGGCAACAGCCCTGAGTGTCCTGGAACTCACTCTACAGACCAGGCTGGCCTCAAACTCAGAGATCTGCCTGCCTCTGCCTCCTAAGTGCTGGGATTAAAAGGGTGCTTTAATTGAAGAATTCTCTTCAATCTTAAAAGTCAAGATAGTCTTTACATAAAGTGAGTTGTCTTGTATGTGGAGGTTAAAACAGAGAAAAGGATACTGGAAGAGAAGAACAGCCTACTGCCCTTTCCTCTTTCTTTTAATGAGGTTTTTCTTCTTTTTTAATACTAAATGTTTATGTTTTATTTATTGGGGAGGGCATAAAATGCCATGATGCTCATGTGCAGGTAAGAGGGCCATTTGTGGGAGTTGGTTCTCTCTGTTCACCATGCGGGTCCTGGACCCTGAGTCCTCAGGTCATCAAACTCGGAGGCAAGAGCCCCACATGACCAATGAGCTTACCAGTCCGAATGTATTTTTTCTAATGCTTACTTCTTTCTTTACTATTTCATCTTTCTAAATCACCAAGTAAGGTCTACCATAGGTTAATTTATAAAGAATACACTGTTACGATAAATCTTTCTGCCACTCTCTTGATCCTTTTAAATTTACTTTTCTTTTTTTTTATTTTATTTATTTATTATGTATACAACATTCTGCTTCCATGTATATCTGCACACCAGAAGAGGGAACCAAATCTCATAACGGATGGTTGTGAGCCACCATGTGGTTGCTGGGAATTGAACTCAGGACCTCTGGAAGAGCAGTCAGTGCTCTTAACCTCTGAGCCATCTCTCCAGCCACCCCCCCTTTAAATTTTCTAGACAAATACAAAAATTAAAAAGGTTATCTGGAGATATGGCACCACAGAGAAACACCTGTTTATCATGGGGACTTGCTTTAAACACACACACACACACACACACACACACACACACACACAAATTAAACAACAAAAGTAAAGAAGAGCAATCTAGCTTACAGCTCCATTTCCATACTGTAAAGTTAAGATTTCTCCCTGCAGGGCTGGGGACTTAATTCAGTTTCTCGAATGTGGAGCACATTCCTTACAACACTTGCCCCTAAATCTGCCATGTTATCACACACATTTTCTCTACATTATGTCAAACATAAAGCTATGTTTTATCCCACAGGTGATCTTCACCATCAGTCTTCAGTGGTGATGAAAGCTTTCGCGTGAAGACTGGCAACAAGGTAAACAGCCCCACTCTCCTGACTTCTGTTCAACCAAGTAGTGTGAGGCCTAGCCAGAGAAACTGCCAAGGAAGAAATGGAATGCAAACTGAAAAGGAAGAAGCTGCCTATGTAGAGAAGAGGATGGGCACCTGAAGACTTCACCAAAACTACACTGCAATGACACTATGAGAACAACCCACTCAACAGCACCAGAGCTGGGGCATTGCTCAGTATTGAAGTGCTTGCCTAGAACGCACAGAACCCTCAGTTCTGTGACCAGCACTTACACACCAAAAGCAATGTGATACTCAAGAATACATTTCACCAAAGAAGGCAAAGATCTCTATACTGAAAACTATGCAACTTTGATGAAAAAAAACTAGACATAAATAAATAGAAAGACAGTATTTATACACTGGAAGAATAAACATTGTTAAAAGAACTACACTGGCTAAAACAGTGATTCAGTAAGCTCCTTAACAAAATTCCAATGGCATCTTTCACAGAAATAGAAAAACACCTCATTTGGGGCTACAACTTCACTAATTAATTTGGGGGTGGGAAAACACAAACGTTCAGTCTATGGGGCTGATACAACAACTCTAAAAACAGTATTTAAAAACCATTCATACAACTATATTTACATACAAAAAACTAGCATCTAGAACTAGATAGCATCTATCTATCTATCTATCTATCTATCTATCTATCTATCTATCTATCTATCTATCTATCTATCTGGTACTAGAGATTAAACCCAGGGCTTTCTGCATACTGGAAAACACTGGACCACTAAATTACCTCCTCAGCCAAGCATTCTAAATATGCAAAGGCAGCTAACACTTCAGTCAGTAATTATAAGCAGATATACAACTTTAGAAAAGTATACGTTAACATCAGTATGTACTCACTTGTAAAGGTTTTATCTCTATTTCCCCGATTCTCCTGAAGAATTTGTACTTCTTTGGCAATTTTTTGCTTTTCAATTTCTAAAGCTTCTAGGATTCTTGCATGGCGGATGCTATGGTCTTCTAAAGCCTAATAATATTCATTCATATAGACCAGCAGATGAGGATATGCAAAGAGAGAATTTATAAAATCAGAGAAGTTGGATATTTGCTTCACCATACTAGCCACTTTGCTGCTTATATACACCTTATAACATGTTATTTATTTTACATATACACAAGAAGATATTTTTAAAAAGCAGTTAATCAGGACAGCAAAGTGGTACTTGACACCAACACCTGATGCCCTGAGTTCCATCTCCGGGACTCATGTGGCGGAAAGAGACAATCAATCCCAAAAGTTGTCCTCTGACCCCCCACATATGCACTATGACATATACACAGAAAGGAAGAGTCTGGAAAACAAACAAACAAACAAATAAACGGATTAATAGGGACTGGGGAGGCAGCTCAGCAGGCAAAGTACTTGCGGGCACGGTATGAGGAGTACGTTTGTGTCCCTAGCAGCCACATAAAAATTTGGGATTCAGGGTTATAGCAGATGTAATCCTGGCACTGTGGGGAGGAGACAGCTGATGGCTGGAGCTCACTGGCTACCCAGTGCTGCCAAAAACAGAAGATTCCAGGTTCAGTGAATGACCCCGTCTTAATAAGCAAGGTAGAGAAGAGACCGAGGAGGACATCTGATGTCAATCTCTGGCCTCTACATATGCCCATATGTTCAGGCACACCATGAGTGCACAGAGTACATACACATGCATACCACCCCCAAAGAGACTGATCGCTCCAATGCTATAATGAAATTTCATCTTACTGCACTCCTTTCATTAAGAATACATGGTTAACATATTTTACTAAACACAAAAGTTTTCTAAAAACTGATTTATAAACTTTCTTAATGATTTTCCTCATAAAATCATTAGGATTCTAAGAATTTATTTATAATTATCATGTTTGTGTGATTGTGGGGGGGGGGAGGGTGGACACGCCAAATGCAGATATGGAGGTCAGATAACAATTGTACAGGCAGTTCTCTCCTTCTGCCTTAGTAGGTTCCCGGGATCAAACGCAAGTCACCAGGCTTATGTGGCATGCTCTTTACCTGCTGAGCCATTCCACTGGCCCATCAGAAAGAATATTTTTCTTCCCATTGCTAGTAAGTAAGAGTCTTTGGAGTAAAAGGTGTTAGACTGGGGAACTTACAATAACTAAGAAGATTTGTTGACTAAAGTTAAAAGATATGAACTAAATAATGTTTCCCAGGATTTAAAAGGCTGTTTCCCTCCCAATGTCTCCAACCTAATTAATTGGTAGTGTGCTCCTAGCACACTATACTGTCAGCGTCTGAGTGACTGGGAGCATTTTCTTCCCCCACAACCTCAGCTCTGCTCTTCCTCATCCCACAAACATGGAAAACAGAGAAAGTAAGTCTACTACTTGAGACAAACTTTAAGATCAAGAAGTGGAACACACCTAGGAGAAACCACTCGGGGTAGAACATTTGATACCCACTTCTATCTTGATGAGGATAAAGACAGTCTTCTGGGGCCAATGTGAAACAGCCAAACACATTGTGGTACACACCTTTAAGCCCAGCACTTGGGAGGCAGACAAATCTCCACAAGTCTGAGACTAGCCTGGTCTACCTGTCAATTCCAGGCTTCTCTCAGCCCCACAATTTGCATTTCTAACAGGTTCCTAGAAGAAACTGATGTTTCTCATCCAGAGAACACACTTTAAGAACCACCAATGTGGGGCTGGAGAGACAGCTCAGCAGTTAAGGGCATGGGCTGCTCTTCCAGAGGACTTGGGCTTGGTTCCCTGTACCCACTTGGTGGCTCACAACCATTTGTAATTGCAGTTCTAGGGGGATCTGACACCCTTTTATGTCCTCTTTGGGCACCAAGCATACACCTGATACACCTGATACACCTGATGCGCGCGCACACACACACACACACACACACACACACACACACACACACACACACACGCCAGTGCACAGACAAAACATTCATACATATAAAATCAATAAATCTTAAAAAAAAAAAGAAAACCACAAAACCCACCAGCAGAAAGACAAGAAATGCCAAAAATGTTATCAATGTGGTTGAAGATGTGAACACAATAATGCTCTAGTTTTATCTTTGTTTTGTGAACTTGGCTGTTTCACATTGGCCCCAGAAGACTGTCTTTATCCTCATCAAGATAGAAGTGGGTATCAAATGTTCTACCCCGAGTGGTTTCTCCTAGGAAACCACTGCTCTATCAGGATGTGATCCAATATAAAGACTTTCCTTTTCTTCCTACTGTATTTTGGGACCATTATTTAGCATGACAGGCAGTTGCAGACATATGAAAAGAAAATTAGAATGGAACTTAAAAAAAGACGGCTGTATGCCTTCCAGAGTGTTTGGGAATGGTGGGTGAGCAGAGCCAGGGCAGAGGCTCTTAGTCAACAGGGGCCATTCCCATCTAGAGACCTTGTGGCTCTTTCATCAAAAGCGGCTCCCCCCAGAACAGCCAAGACGTGAAGTTACCTGCTTTGTAGCCAAAGTCTCCATCTCCAGCCGCCTTTTGTTCACATATACTTCCTGTTCAAGATGCTGCTTTGCCTTTTCCAACTCCTCAATTTTGTCATTAGCTTTCTGGTTATTTATTTCCTCCATTTTCTTCCTTTGCGACTCCTCTCTCTTTAAACAACATTAATAAGAATTAACTCAGGCAAAAATGCAGAGCAATTTTTCATAAAACAGTGGTCCTAGGGCATCAAAGGTCCCCTTGTGATCAATGAACAAGAATTCACCTACAACAAAGTCGTCCTGGAACACTCTCCTTTCACTTAGGTTAAGTAATCTAATCAAGCATGAATGCCACTCATCCAACTTTGGGGGGTATGTCCTCGAAAATGGGATTCTGGGGCTGAAAGGTTGCTACTAAATCAGCATGAAGAGCCACAACTCCTGTGTTGCTGGGCAGGGGTCTATTTTCCTCTCCCAGCAGCCATGATCTACGTTGTTGCTTGGAAATGTGTAGCTCTAAACCTAGTATCAGACACTCCTCTAGCTACATTTTTAAGAACTTTTTTTTTTTTGGGGGGGGGAGTGTCTCATTTCATGTATCCCAGGCTAGCCTTGAACTTGCTGTGTGACTGAAGATGTCCTTGAACTCCTGATCCTCCTGCCTCCACCACTCAAGTGCTGGGATGTACAACACCACACCCGGTTTACAGATCAAACACAGGCATACAAGACAAGCACTCCACCATTGAGCTTCAGCTCTGAGGCAATCAATTTTAGTCCCACACCACTTTAGGAAACTATGAGAGAAAAGGCAAACTCTGCTTGTTACCAGTTCTGCTTCCAGGGCTCGGATTTTGCTTTCATATGCAGCTTTTTGGGAAGAAAGCTCTTGCTGAGCCATTTCTTTTGCAATTTGAATTCCTTGCATCATTTCTTCCTTTGCCTTCAACTGGGCATCTTTTATTTCTGCTTCAAGCCTACAAATTAGCAAGATAATTTTAGAACGGTGAATATTTTATATACCTAAGCAGTCTTCAGTTATATTAAAATAACATTTAAATCTGAAATTTTAATTTTTGGTATTCTATCTACAGTGTTTTCAGATTTTTCACTGGTTTTGAATTGTATCCATAGGGAAAAATAGAACAGGATGAAAATGTGATTACTCCCAACTTAGTTGTTATTGCAGATGCCAGATATTTAAATTAATATATTTCCTAGTGAGTAAAGAAAATATATCATATAAAATGCTATAGTAAACATTCTAGTAAATATTATAGTTAACACAGTGAACCAATATAAGATATTTATTTTTAGGTTAAGCTAACAATGCTGCAATTCCACTTTAATACACAATAGACTCTTTTTGAAACAGCATCCCAAGCTGGCCTTCAACATGCTCTGTACCTGAGGATCCACTGACTTACAAAGTGCCCCTTCCACTTTAGTCTGTGCAGTGTTTCAGGGTCTCTGAACTAGGCTGCATCCTTGTGAGCATTTAACTATGATGCACACTTTCCTTGCACACATATGCTTCACACCAGCGATGACACTTACTGTGATCTCTGTGCCCTAAGTAATTCATTTTTGGCAAACTCAAAGTCTTTTGGACCTTCCACTGTGAGATTATGTCTACTTGATGGTCTTATCCCTTTCTGGACTTCAACTGGATGATTAAATCTAAAATAATGATCTCCACCGAGAATCACCCGATCACCCTGAAACACAAAAAGAAAGTATGATTTAAGGTAAGTCTAAATGAGAAAATTACAAACTTTTCCTAAAAAAGAAAAAAAATTCAAAAATTTGAGGAGAAAATAATAAAATATTGACAATGGTTTCCTGTGTGAGACACAGTTTTAGTGTTTTATATTTTCCATTCCTTTAACTCCACAATTCAAGATGACACAGTATTATTGATGACAGACATTAAAATTATAGCAACTGTCACATTTGTTATTTTCCATATGTCAAATACTGTTGGGTAATTTACATTTGCATGTATGTTTGTGTATATCTAAAAAAAAAATCTCATTTACATCTCACAACAACATGTCATTCCAGTGTTGGGAAAGAGGGAATGAAATGAAACACATGGACTTTTTGAGTAATAGCTGACACTCACTGAGCATCGACCCTTTGGAGCAATGGTGTAAAACTATACATGAATTATTTTTAGTTTAATTCCCCACCACACCTGAAAAGCAGACCATTATTCTGGGTTTGCCTTCAGCAGTTTAAACCAGTTCTCCTGAGATAGCTGTTAACAGCATTCTAAAAGTGTCCTCACTAGATAGTGCTGGTCTTCTTCACAGGACACACAATGAAGCTGTCAGTAGTAAACCCTGGTTCACACCACTGTAACTTCTCTTTGTACAAATGAATTAACTACTACTACTAATGAATTAACCAACAGAACTTTTGAAATGAAAAAGTTCTCAATTCAGATTAGTGACTCAGGGGAGAAAACATGAACATAGATGAATGCCATGACTGGGGGCGGGGATAGAAAACATGAACACCTACAGCTGACAGCTTCTGCCACTGTAGCCCCATTGACTTACATGATGTAATACTGTGGGCTCCGAAATGTGCATCCCATTTACATATGTCTTTGCTTCTCCAGCTGGGACAATACTCACTGTTCCTCCAAAATTTCTGATAGTACTATTAAAATAAAAAAAAGCATTGTTACAATTACAGGAAATTTTAAAAAGAAAAGATAGGAGGGAATAAATCTGCTTAGATTATTTCTTTGGTAATAAGTTCACACCAATTTGTAGCAACAATAATCTTAAGTTATTTTTATTTTTCCTCCAGATACACTTTAGAGTTTGGTGAAAAACAAAAACAAAACACCAGCATCCCTATATCTGCCAGTGTAGGAAGAAGTTCCATTATATCTTGATTAACTTCTGGGGGAGGGCACTAAAACCTTCCCTGCAAATGAAAAAAGTACACAGAAAAAAGTTCAAGGGAAAAAAAAAACAATCGAATATTGATAATAGGTTACTTCAAGACAGCGTTTTTATGTGCTTTTATTTTTTCTAAGTTTCTGGTTTTGTAACTGACTGCATCACTTGTCCTAGAAAGGGACTTTACTAATGGAAGAGTGAGGTATTATACAGGAGGAAAAGCAAGGAGACGAAAGCACCTTCTTATCCATCTAACTAGACACCCTTGACAGGAAGATCTGTAAAGAATCAGTTGCAAATGTCACACACACATTTGGGGAGACTTTCTTATTCAGAATAGGAAATTTCACAGGCTGTCTAGACAGAAACAGAAAACTACAGCAGAAGCCAAGACCTCACCAGAGACCCTTAGCATTGATTAGGCCCTGAGACTTGAAATTAGAGAATAATAGTTGAATTAAAACACCCCCCCCCGCCCCAAAACGGATCTGAGCAAGCTCACTGCTGGGCAGTGTGCCTCTCCCATCAGGATACTGTTTAAGCCAGGGAGTTTTAGCAGTCTCACTTATCCTGCTCTCGTCCCTCTCCTACTTCCATCTACTCTCATCAGAGGTCCACAGCCAGCATCCTGAATCCCGACCAACCCAGTTTCAACCACCAATCTCCTTTAAAAACCACTATTCTCCATGTGAGCCCATTTCACAGAGGCAACTCAATTTCACTGAGTCCTTCTTCAGGGAGAGACCTCAAATCTCAACCTGCATGCCAGCCCTCTAGGAGGCTTTTCTCTGAGAAACTCTCCCAGGGAGCATGCCATTTGGTGCTTATCTGGTACTTGACATAGGGATTAATGAGCACTGAAGTCTTCATTCATTGAACCCCCATGAGCCAGATACGGTCAGCGGTGAAGACAGATGTGAAGGCAGCTCTCTCTCATGAGCATAATGGTCTAGTGAGTAAGATAAATGCTGACGAGCCTACTAAATGGACAGGAGAGGGCTCAAGACAAGTAATAGACTTCCAACCCTGCACTGGGCTCTTCATTGTAGGGGAAGCTGTAGCCACGCCTTCTTAGGGGCTGGCTACAGGTATGCCTGACCACGCTTGTGAGGGCGTGGTCAGAGTGACGTAGTGTGACTGCATTTGCGGTTTAGGTTTCTCTTTAGTACTTGCTGTACAGACTGCTGACCCACCGGCTGGCTAGGATGCTCTGTAAGTAAGGCTTTTCCCTATTAAATACCCTTATATTTCTACCTGACTCCGTATTGGTAATTTCCCACTATACTTCATTTTATTGGTTTAGTTCTGTTATCTGTGCCACTGATGTAAATGATGCTGTACTTATTTGTTATATAAAATAGTTACCAGAGTAGCAAAAGGGCCTAAAAAACTTATGTGCCCTACCAAATTAAAAGACTCATTAAGAAACTCAAGTGATCAGAGCCATACAGTGTTACAACAGAGTCCCATATTTTTTATAAATAGTCACAAGAGAAACAATAAAATACTTAGTATAAGGTCCAAGGAGAACTGATTACTCATACAGAAATTGATTTTGATCTTTAGTTCACACAGAACTTCAAAAATCTAAAGGAAAACATTTGTATGATGTCACTTGGTGTGTGTGTGTGTGTGTGTTGTGTGTGTGTGTGTGTGTATTTCTTGGGATTGAACCTAGGATCTTGTCCAAGAACTCTACCATTGAGTTATTCCTTCAGCCCTCTTTTTTAACGTTTTCTTTTGAGATAGGGTCTCACTAAGTGCTCAGGTTGGCCTTGAACTCCTTCTGAAGCCCAGACTGGCCTTGAATTTGCAATTCTCCTGCCTCGGTCTTCAGAGAAAGTATAGGTTTGTGCCACTGGGTCTAGATGAAACATTCTTTCTTAAACAAATACAAAATTAACAGTCATATAAAGGAAAAAAATTAATGCCAGGTACTAAAATAAATAACTTTAATCAATATACCATAAGACAATAAAGATGACTCAAACACTAGGAAAAAAAAAAAAAAGGTGCTTGCAACACATAAAATTCACAAAATACTAGAACCCAGAATCTATAAAGAACTGAAAATCATTAAGAAAAAATGGGAGATGACATACATAGGCAGGCAAGTAAAAGAGGCACAACACCATTAGCCAAGGAAATGCAAAATGAATTGATGAGATGCTACTTGATGCGCACTAAATTTACACAAACTAAAAGTCTGACAGTACCAAGTGCTGACAATGATGTGGAGTATCAGGTATTTTCAGTGACAATGGTAATAAAAATGGATAGTCATTTTGAAAAACAATTTGAAAGTAATTGATAAGATTAAACAGGCATATTTCCCAGAGCCTAATACCTCTACACATGCTTTCTAAACTTTAAAATTACTATAGCATAATTAAAATGTTATCCTCTTTATACAGTACACATATTCCTTTTTTTTGGTTTTTTTCGAGACAGGGTTTCTCTGTGACTTTGGAGGCTGTTCTGGAACTCACTCTAGGCTGGCCTCGAACTCACAGAGATCCGCCTGCCTCTGCCTCCCGAGTGCTGGGATTAAAGGCGTGCGCCACCATTGCCTGGCTTCAGCACACATATTCCTATAATTAGAACTCCCTAGTTCCTATCATTTTCCCTGAAGACCCTTTGGGTCAGTGTGTTGGTTTACCATCCAGCAATCTGCCCTGGACAAACTACCATTGCATCAGGAGACACAACACAAGCACACCTGAGAGAGCACCAAGGGCAAGCCCCACTCCTGGGGACCTAGGAAGTGTTCAGCATGTCAAGGCACTGATGGAATCACTATTGGTGTTAATGATGAGGTCTTTAACTCCTTATCCTAGCATTCCCAATGTTCATCTTCCTGTAATAAGTGGAGAGCTAGGGGACAGGGCAGTTTGACTTTAGCTAGCAGCTGCTGGACTCTCCTTTGCTGCCCTGGCTGCCTTGAGCATAAGGACTGTCAGTGTAAGCCAGCCAGACTACATCCTTACACTAGCACCAGACATTTTGGACACTCTACAGACACTTTGATAAAACCCCTGACCGCTATAGCTCTTTGTGGTGTTTGAATGAGAATGATCCCTTATAGGCTTGTATGTTTGAATGTTGGTTCCCAGTTGGTGGACTGTTTAGGAAGAATTAGGGAAGGTATGACTTTGGTTAGGAAGAATCAGGAGGAGGTATGTCACTGGGAGTGGGCTTTGAGGTTTCAAAAGCCCAACACAAGACTCAGTCTCACTCTGCCTACAGCCTGTGAATCAGGATGTAAGCTCTTAGCTACTGCTCTAGTGCCATGCCTGCCTGCCAGCCTGACACCGTGTCCCCTGTCACAATGCTCATGGGCTAACCCTCTGAAACTGTAAGCAAAACTTAAAAACACAACATGAAGTAAAAAATGTTCACAAACACTATTATCCCAACAATATATATAAGATCATTCCATTCATGTGAACAAATTCACATAAAACAAACAAAAAAAATTTATCAACCCAACCAAAAAGTCTTCCATATAAGACGAATAGTTTACTATTATAATTCTAAGAAAAGAAATTACCCTTTTAATCAGCAGATCAAGTGCACCATGCTGAACCTAACATTGAGAGTAACTCATCTGTTGTTGTGAAACACATTCATGAAGTTTTCCCTATCTTAAAAAGAGGGTTGAGCTGAGCGTGGAGGCATATGCCTTTAATCCCAGCACTCAGAAGGCAGATGCAAGGCAGTCCCTGCGCTCAAGGCCAGCCTGGTCTATAGAGTGAGTTCCATGATAGCCAGGCCAAATGGAGAAACCCTGTCTCAAAAAGCCAAAAAAAAAAAAAAGAAAAGAAAAAAAAAAAAGAAAAAAAAAGGCGAGATGAAAAAAAAAAAAAAAAAAAAAAAAAAAAAAAAAAAAAAAAAAAGGGCGAGAGGGAGAGAGAGAGAGAGAGAGACAGAGGTGGGAGGATCGGAGTAATATTGAGCAGAATCAGTAGGAGTGAATGCCTTACATAGAGAAATGCCGCATTAACAAGACCTAGAAGGCTGCTGACAGCAAACAGGCAGTGCCTTGCAGAAGACTGACATACCAGTGATCATCCGCAATCAGCACTCCAGATAACTGGATGTCGTGGCTTGAGTTTGGCTTATACTTCCCAACTGTAGTTATTCCTTCTTTTACCATGTATAGAAGCATCTCTGACAGCTGTGGGTCTTCATTGAGATTAACAAGGTTTGGCAAATGGTTGTCCATTTGAAATGTAACTCCCGCTTTCTGGTAGAAGTGAAAAGAAAATCTTAACTACAGCATGAGATTATTAAATTCACCTAAAAGAAAAACCTATGTTAAATATTACGGTTACTTTATATAGAGTTTTAGTGCATAGCGGGTTCACCAAGGTTAAAGTTCAGTGGTAGAGTACATACCTGTGCAGTGCCCTGGTTTTAATCCCAAGCATGCACTCGCACATGCACAGACTTGTACACACAGGCATGGGCATGAGCACACACAGGTGCACACGTGCGCGCACACACACACATACACACACACACACACACACACACACACACACACACAAAATTCATTGTTGGAAGCCCTCCCTTATGGTGTCTCTATGACTGTCACCATCACACTCCTAACTCAAGAGATCTGCAGCTCTTTCATTCTTCGCCACTCTCAGTCGCCGTCACATCAACCCATCACTACCTGCTTGTTTCTCTCCTGCTTTAGAGTAGATCAGTTCTGCTCGATTTCACCAGCACCACCTTAAACTGACACACCAGAATCCCCACAGTAGCCTCTGGAGTACCCTGTCAGCTATCCTTTGTTCCATATTCCATCCGACACCAGGTAACTCCTCAACTCCCTGTCAAACACCTCCCAGAGCTTTTAACTTCCTAAAGAGTAAGAATTAAAATTGCTTAGCCGGGAAATCAAGACCTCAGTAAACCACTGTATCTTCTTTTTCTTTATGACCTCATCTAAACCGCGTGGCCTCTTCTCCTCTCATATGGTCTTCCTTTCTACAATGCTTTGTTCTCACCTAACAAAATCTTACCCAGCCTCAAATCTCACTTCTTTTTTTCTTGTGTAGTTCAGGCTGGACTGTAACTATGGACTCCAAGCTGGGTTCAAACTCAGGATCCTCCTGCCCAGCCTCAAAATGCTGGAATTAGAGGCATGGACCACCATACTGGGCAAATCCTATCTCTTCTGTTAGGATATCCTGGACATTCCCAAAGAAAATTTCCTCCTCTCTCTGAGCGTGAGCATGAATGTGTGTGGTGGTGGTGGTGGTGGGGGTTGGCGGGGTGTATAGGAGTCAACGTTGGGTGTCTTTCTCATTCACTCTCCCTCCACCTTATTTTTTGAGACAAACGCTCTCACTGACTGGGACAATTCTCATTTTCAGAGTGCTACATTCTTCACTCTTACTGTCCACTCAACTGTCTTCTGCAACCCCAACATTTCAGTGGCTTTATAATTTTACAATGCAACACTCACATTTCTAAAATGTGGGACTCATTCTTGATTTCTACTTCTATTACTACCAACTCAATTATTCCAGGCTTCTGACATGGTTGCTGCACAAACCTAACAACCCAGGTTCAGAATCTCCAGAACCTATGCAAAGGTGGAAGGAGAGAATCAACTCCACAAAACTGTCCTCTGACCTCCAAATGAGTGTTACAGCATGCATGCACTATGATATATATACATATATGTATATATATGCACACATATTTAAAATTTATAGACACATAATTAAAAATTGAAAATAATAAAGACAGTCGGGCATTGGTGGCACATGCCTTTAATCCCAGCATTTGGGAGGCAGAGGCAGGCGGATCTCTGTGAGTTCCAGGCCAGCCTGGTCTTCAAAAAGAGTTCCAGGACAGGCGCTCCAAACCTACAGAAAAACCCTGTCTTAAAAAACCAAAAAAAAAGAAAATAATAAAGAGGATTATCCTGAACTCACCTCCTCCACTATCACCACTGCCCTCCCTCACTCTAAGCTCTTCCCTAGCTCACGCCTTAACCACTTAACTAAATGCCTTAAGAGCTCCCAATGCCTCTCCTTCCGAACACTGGCCTTTCCTTCTTCTAATCTGCCTTCCATGTTGTTACTAGAAGAACCCACGGAACAGGAAAGTTTAATTGGGTTAATGGCACAGGACTACAGTCCTTGCCCTTGAGTCGTTAGGCAATCACAACCTAGATCCAAAAGTCCCCCCACCCCCAATCCTGATTCTTCTGTTTTTTGAGTGTAAAGCTCAGCACACATGGGCACTGGGAACAGCAGGGACAGCTGGTGATCCCATAGAGCCTCCATGGTGGAGAGGATAAGGAAAGCAAGGAAGGCAACCATCAAAGAGAAGAGCCCTGTGCCTCAGACAGGGCAAATCCCAGAAGGGAACAGGAGAAGAGCTGCTGCTCAAGGGACTGGTTCCTGATACAGCCCGTTATCAAGCTGCCAAACACCACTCCAACGCCAGGCCCTGAACCAGCCACATCAACTGTGGAGGCCCCAGCACCTACTAACTTGGCTGCCGTGTCAGCGTCCTGGGAGGCAGCACTGGTCTGGCCACCTGGACAGGACAGGAGAGCCTCTGCAGGAAGATTGCTTAGGTGGGGCAGGCACAGGCCTGACTCCTGGAACAGGAGATAAGAACTGGAGAAACAAACAGGGCCTTTGTGGTCGGCATCTTTAAACCTCCCAGCTTTAGCCCTTGGTCTCTAACAATTCTTTAGGTTAATTATCACTACATATTTCTCTGTACAGAGTGATTGCACAGTAAAGATTAAAAATGAAATTAACAGGTATACTTTTTCTATTTCAAATTAGTTTAGGAAATTGAAATGATACCTGTAACTCCTTTGTCTCTTGAAGTTTTCTCTTTTCAGCTTGTTCAAACTTTTCTTTCCATACTCTTTCCAAAAAAGAAAACATTGAAGTTAAAACATCCATTTACGTAAGACAGAAATCAAGAAACCATCTGTGAAGTATGCAGAATACTACCATTTAAAATAGGACAACTGGATGGGCGGTGGTGGCGCACGCCTTTAATCCCAGCTAGAGACAGGCAGATCTCTTGAGTTCGAGGCCAGTCTGGTCTACAGAGCGAGTTCTAGGACAGTTAGGGCTACACAGTGAAGTTCTAAGATAGTTAGGACTATACAGTGAAACCCTGCCTGGGGGGGGAAGGACAATTGAAAGCAAGCTGTTCTCTTCTGCAGGAGGCGGTGAGAAAGATGCAGTATGCTCTCAAGCAGTCCCCCAGTCTGCAGCAATACATTGCCTGGTTACGGTTCTGGGGGCATTCATTCACCTTTGCATCTCTGCCATGTCTCTCTCCTGCTGATGCAGCTTCATCCGTAAGGACGTTATCTCTTGTCGACAGAGTCTGTACCGTTCAGGGTCAATATTCCGGTTGTTTCTCTGAGCAGCTTTTAACTTTTCAATTTCTGCTTTCAATTCTAAAGATTTATAAAAAGACACATGATGAACAGCTAAACCTGGAAAAAAGATGTTTCCACTTGCTGCCCCTCCCACCCGTACTCTTTTCTAACCTTTTCCTGACTTCCTTCTCGCTACTTCCTGTCTTTCTCACTGATCACCCACCTTTCTCCATCACGGTCAGGTTTATAACTAGGATGTATTAGCAGGTAGGCATGGAGAAAATAGTTTTCTTAAAGTCATATATATTAAGATTGGAATTAGTACATTAATAAATCTAAGAAGATTTATGGCTCATTTGGTAAAACTCTTGTTGTGCAGTCTTGAGAATGTAAATGCTGGATGGGAGTAGCAGCCTGTCTGTAATTCCACGACTTGCAAGGCAGAGACAGGGGGTTCCCCAAAGCAAGCTGGCTGGCTAGCTTAGACATACTGGGGAGCCTGGGGTCAACTGGAGATATGATCTCAATGAGAAAGATGGAGAGCAATCTCCGGAGACTCCCAATGTTAGCCTGGGGCTTCCACAACACAGCATGCAAACACATGTGCATCCACACACAAACGCACATACAGCGTGAACAAACATATACACGCAAAACATGAATTACGATATTTGAGACAATATTCACCTCTAATTAACTTTGCATTCATATCTTCGTTGACTTTGGCAATATTGACTATCAAACGGGCTTGAGTGGCGTATCTGAGTGTGCTTAGTGTTTCCTCTATGTTGCTGGCAGCAGGGCTGATGGTAGCAATCATTGCCGTCTTTGAATTTCCACCCAGGCTTTCTTTTAATAGCCTTTAGGAAGAAGAAGGGAAAGCAGTCACAATTAGACTTTTCTTCTATAACCACCTAGTAACAGTAATTATCTAGAAAACCCAAACCAATGGCTAACAGCATGCAACACAATACTGACTCTCCACTCAGACACCATTACAACCACTTACATCTCATAATTACATTGTTTTCTCTTACATTTTCTTTTCATTTTTTACAATTAATTGATTTCTTTTGAGACAGGGTCTAACTATGCAGCTTTGGTTGGCCTGAAACTTACTATGTGGACCAGGTTGGCCTCAAATTCATAGAGATCCGTCTGCCTCTGCCTCCCAAGTGCTGGGATTAAAGGCATATATTATGCCTGGCTCATATTCCTGGCTTCTCTTATTTTTTTCTACACTGCTTTATAAAGTAATAAATTGTTTATAGGCTTTTAAATATGATTAAACATTAAATATTTAGTAAGATTTTTCCCTTTAGACTGTGAGCTACTACAGCAAAGAGACTGTATGTCTTGATCATCTTTGTACTCCCAGTGCTACCATAACCTGCAGGAGTTCCCAATGCATATTGAAAATGATGAATTAACATATATGTGTTCCATATTGTACTGTGTGCAAAATAGAATATAAGATATTAGCACAGAATGAATTTCACTATTCCTAGTTTTTCAATTCTTTAAAAAATAATATTCTCCCTTTTAAGTTTCAAGATAAAAACATTATAATTAAGCAATTAAAAGCTGGGCATGGTGTGAGCCACTCGGAAGGGTAACTCAGGATTGCAATGGGTTCAAAGCCATCCTGGGTTACATAGTATATTCTAGAACAAAGTTGAGAGCCTGTCTAATAAAAATAAAACCTAAACTAAATAAACAAACAACAATAATACACCAATTATAAAGATACACTACTATTGTATAATGTGTTTCTTGCCTAGTAGAATACCAATGCTCCCCAACTTGAGTTAAGGTTATATACCAATAATCCCCACCAAAAATCCAACACACTTCACAGAAATTAAGAAAAAGCAATCTACTACTTCATTTGGAAACACACACACAAACCCCAAAACAACTAAAGCCCCAAAATAAAAACAACAACAAAAAGCAGAATAGCCTCAAAAATCCTGAATCATTAAAGAATTTCTGGAGGTATCACCTTCCCAGATTTCAACTTCTATTACAGAGAAGAGCTATAGTAATAAAAAAAGACATGGTTTTAGCATAAAAATAAACAAGTTCATCAACAAAGTAGAATTAAAGTTCTATACAGCTACAGACACCTGATTTTTGACAAAGAATACAAATATTCACACTGGAGAAAAGACAGCATCTTCGACAAATGATGGTGGACAAATGGATGTCTGTATGAGAAGAATGCATACAGATCCGTATTTATCACCTGGCACAAAACTCAACTCCAAATGGCAGAAGAACCTCATCACAAAACCAGATACTCTGAATATGACAGAAGATAAAGTGGGGAATAGGCTCGAACTCATGGGCACAGAAAAGGACTCTCTGAACAAGACGCCATTAGCATATGCATTAAGAACAAATAACCAGCGGCCGGTCGTTGGTGGTGCATGCTTTTAATCCCAGCACTTGGTAGGCAGAGGCAGGTGTGAGTTCGAGGCCAGCCTGGTTTCCAGAGCGAGTGCCAGGATAGGCTCCAAAGCTACACAGAGAAACCCTGTCTCGAAAAACAAAAAACAAAACAAAACAAAACAAACAAACAGACAAACAAAAAGAACAATAACCTAAAAATGGGGAGCTTCTGTACTGCAAAGGCCACTCATTTGGACAAAGTGGCAGTCTACAGAATGGGAAAGATTTTTACCAACTACACACCTGATAGAGGGCTAATATCCAAAATATATAAAGAACTCAAAAAACTGAGCATCAAGAAAACAAATAACCCGATTTTAAAATGGGGTACAAAACCAAGCCAAATCCTCAAAAGATGAAGCACAAGTCTCTGAGAAACAAAGAAATATTCAACATCCTTAGCCATCAGGGAAATACAAATACTTTAGTCAGGATGGCCAGATCGATAAAACAAATGAAAGCACACGCTGTCAAGGATGTAAGGCAAGGGAAACACTGATTCACTGGTGGGAGTGCAAACTTGTACAGTCACTATGGAAATCAGTGTAGTGGTTCCTCAGGAAGCTGGACTAGATCTACCTCAAGATCTTGGACATAATTCTCCTCTACGCCAAAATTACATGAAATCAGTCCATCACTGCCCCCCTCCCCCCCGGTGTGTGTGTGTGTGTGTGTGTGTGAGTGCTGGGGTCTGAACCCCAGATTTCATGCAAGACTTTGTGCACAGCAGGCAAGCACTCTACCACCCCAGCCCACTATATCTCATCGCTTATATAATTATTTATTTTTCAGTGGCTGAAGAGATGGGTTAGTGTGTACTTGCTGTGCAAGCCTAAGGATCCCAGAACCCACAGAAAAGTTGGGCGTGACTGTGTGTGGTGGTGTACACCTTTAATCCAGCACTTGAGGATCCCTGAGATTGAGGTCAACCTGGTCAACAGAGCAAGTTCCAGAACAGCCATGGTGGCACACACTTTGGCGGTTTGAGCCATTCTAGTTAGCTCTCACCCTCTCTCTCCCTGTCCCCTCCATCCTTCTGCCTCATGGTTGTAGATCAGATGTAAGTGCCCAGCTATTGCTCCAGCTCCATGCCTTTCTTCCTTGCTGCCTTTCTCCCCAGTATGATAGTCATGGACTCACTCTCTAAAACTATAAGCAAGTCTGCAATTAAATGCATTTTTATAAGTTGCCTTGGTCATGGTGTTTTGTCATGGCAATATAGGAGTAACAAGACACACACCTATACCCCAATGCTGGGGAAGCAGGTAGACTCCAGAGGCTAGCCAGCCATTCAAAGCAAAACACGGAGTTCCAGATTCAGTGAGAGATTTTGTCTCAAAAAAATCAAGTGAAGCCAGGTGTTGGTGGCGCACACCTTTAGTCCCCCTACTCGGGAGGCAGAGGCAGGTGATCTCTGTGAGTTCAAGACCAGCCTGGTCTACAAGATCTAGTTCCAGGACAGGCTCCAGAGAAACCCTGTCTTGGAAAACCAAAAAAAAAAAAAAAAAAAAAAAAAAAAAAAAAAAATCAAATGGAGAGAGGCTAGAGGAAGACTTTGGATTCGACCTCTGGTTTCCACATGCACACAGGCAAGCACACCTGCAAACGTGCACACACCATAGACATACACTAAAACTGAAAAACCGATTACTTATGCTTTGAAAGATACTTGCCACGTAAGAACAGATTCACGGTATGGAATGAAAACCCTCTTTCCACTTGCTTGATCAGACAGCGCAGATATGACCTTCCCCAGAGTCAGCAAAGACTTGTTAATGCTCACACCTTCCTGTGTGTAAGGTTAAAAAATGGTTATTTTTCTTAACATCTCAGCAACAAATTTATTCCATAAAATAGACTTCTCTCATACAATTACTGATAAACACTTTCTTCCATAACTATCAATATTTTATTTTGTTTTGTTTTTCGAGACAGGGTTTATGTAGCTTTGGAGTAGACCAGGCTGGCCTCAAACTCACAGAGATCTGCCTGCCTCTGCCTCTCAAGTACTGGGATTAAAGGCGTGTGTCACCGCCACCACCACCCAGCTAACTACCAACATTTTTATGACTCAAAAGTTATTAATTTTCTTTGAAAAGTAATCACAATGAAGTATGAAATCCACAACAATATATAAAATAAAGATAAAGATACTTTGCTTTTTGTTGTTAAGTATATTCAAGATGCACTCTCCTAAAAATAATGCCCTCAAAATAAACTTCACCATCATGACAAGAGTGATGGAAATGCTAGGGCCACCTGTGGTCCCAGCTACTAAGGAGCCTGAGGCAGGAGGATCACTTGAGTAAAGCAGTCAACTGGTAGCCTCGGCAACACAGACCCCACCTTAGACAGAGAGAGGTGGAGAGAGTGGCGACCAACCCCAACCTTACCTTCAGTCGCTCCCCACTTGTGTGGGCTGTAGTGCAGCGCTCACTGCCAGCCAAATCGATTAGGTTTATGCGGCTTGTGATTCTGTGGTCATGCTCTTCCCCTTCCACAAATTCTGTCTACAACATCACCACAGGAAAATAATGGAAGAGCTTTTTAATGACTTGCCATCAACATAAGCCTTTTTTTTTTTTTTTTTGGTTTTTTGAGACAGGGTTTCTCTGTAGCTTTGGAGCCTGTCCTGGAACTCACTCTGTAGACCAGAATGGCCTCGAACTCACAGAGATCCCGAGTGCTGGGATTAAAGGCCTGCACCACCACTGCCCAGCTAACACAAGCCTTTAAAAGGCAAAGTTATTCAAGTTACCAATTATTTATTTTTAAAACCATCTCTGGGCTGGAGAGATGGTTCAGTAGTTAAGAGCACTGGCTGCTCTTCCAGAGGTCCTGAGTTCAAATTCCAGCAACCACATGGTGACTCACAACCATCTATAATTAGATCTGATGCCTTCTTCTGGCCTGCAGGTGTACATGCAGAGCACTCATACATAAAATATAAATAAATTAAATTAAAAAACCAAAACAAAAACCATCTCTTACTATATAATAATGCATACATATCCATGAAGTCTACTAAAGAGAATACATTGAGCAGTGCTTACATTGTGACAAATATATAAAAGAACTTACTTTAAAGAGAGCAAAAGTCTTAGCCAGGCATTGGTGGCGCACGCCTTTAATCCCAGCACTCGGGAGGCAGAGGCAGAGGATCTCTGTAAGTTTGAGAACAGCCTGGTCTACAAGAGCTAGTTCCAGGACACCCTCCAAAGCTACAGAGAAACACTGTCTCGAAAAACAAACAAACAAACGAACAAAAAAAGAGAGCAAAAGTCTTAACTACTTAGTTATCTTGAGCAAACAACTAGGAATAGAAAAATGTTGCTTAGCCAGGTGGTGGTGGTGCACATCTTTAATCCCAGCACTTGGGAGGCAGGTGGATCTCAGAGTTCCAGGCTAGATTGGTCTATAGGGCAAGTTCCAGGACAATCTGGGCTACCCAGAGAGACCTGTCTTGGAAAAAAAAGAAGAAAAGAAAAATGTCACTTACCTTATTTGTTGCTTATCTCAGCTTATGTTGCTTATTATACATAGCAAAAATTTTTTAAATCAATATAAACGTCTAACAGCAAAGAAAAATCAAATCATTATGGTAGCTAATGGAATATTGTAAAACTTTAAAAATTACCTCTACAAAGAATTTCTATGGTATGTGATTATTAAAAGTTTTGTGAAATTTGATTGTGATTATAACCAACTGAAAGATTATGTAACAAAACAGAGACTTGAGGAGTGGGACCTATGAGGTTTTTAAAAAATCTATTATTCTTTTTCTGGGTTGGTACATGTATGTGTAGATGTGTGTGTATGCATATACATACATGTGTGTGAATGCTCATGCATGTATGTACACACACCTATGGAGCTGGAGATTAACCTCAGGTGTTTCCCTCCTTGCCATGAAGCCTACTAAGCAGCTCAGGCTGGCTGGGCAATGAACGAGCTGGGGTTCTGCCTGTCTGTGCCTCTCCAGGGCCGGGACTGTGAGTCTGAGCTTTTGTGCTCAGCACTTCAACACGGATCTAGAGCACAAACTCAGACTCTCATGCATGTGTCACAAGCCCTTTACTCACTGACTTAACTCCCTAGCTTTAAAATCTTTTATTTTCTAGTATTCTAAAATTACTATCTATTGTCATATATTGCTAAGCTTTTATCAATGATATCATAAATTGTTAGCCATCTATTATTGGTATCATAAGTTACTGATCATATGCTTTTGGTTAAATACTATATTTTGATACATATATGATAAATATATATTTTGATAAATACCATATTACTACATATAACAAGTCATTAAAAGTTATTGTGAAATTTCCTAAAATCTATTTACACTTACAGTGCTATGATTATACGTCTACTTTTAGATTTGCCTAAATAAGTAAGAAAAACACAAAACAAATGCATTCACTGTCTTATCTGTGGAAATCACCACCACCAGCAAAACCCTTCACTCTGACTATGCACTTTGGACATGGGACTTATACAGAAATGACTCGAAAGCCTCCTCTTTGGGACTAACTTCCACAGTATTGAAAGGTGCTAAGCAAGCTGCCAAGGGAGGGAAACAATGAATAGTCCTATCCAGCTCTGACACCCATGAACTACAACCATGACCACAACCAGCATGCCAGATAGTGGCACTCGTCTGTATTTTGGTGGTAACCAACAACTCTCTAAGAAGACTACTCAACAGGAGGGTAATCAAGCCTGGAGACCCAGCCAATTACCCAGAGATAATGGGGTCCAGGATCTTAGAGGAGAATCCACCACTGCCACTTACTAAACCACATTGTTCCTAACTGCATTCTAATACTTATCCTTATATGCACAGAGACAAGTAGCTGTCACTCTTCATCAAAAAAGCTTCTCTTTGCTGAGAGACCCTTACAGAAAACCCCAACTGGTCAAAATGCAGAGAACAACTGATCAAAGTTGTGCCCAGCCCCAACAGGCACATGTACAACACGCCTGCACTGAAGGCTGGGGACACTGTGGAAGAGGGGGCAGAAAGACTGTAAGTCAGAGGACCAGGAGACCTGTTTAGGAGACCTGTCTCCTAAAATGACAGGAATTCTTCACCCATGATATCTCAATAATACAGTTGCCTAAACAAGACCTGAGCAGGGGCAGTACCTAGAGAAATGCTAATATGGAAAGGAAAACCTCATGAGATTCCACCCCTAAACAAAGAACTACAGGCAACTAAGGAATGCTGAGAGGGGAGAATTAGTCTTCTTCAGGGAGGAGAACTGTAACCTATAAGTGTGGGGGACTGGAGGAAGAAAAGGGGTAAATAATGCAATTATATTTTAATTAAAAAATACAATTAAATTACAATAAAAATACCTTGGTCTGGGTCATCACCAGGGTGAAAACAGAGTGGGATCGGGAGCTTTTGTCATTCATACCGGTAGCCGCAGTCGCTCTTTGCTTATTTCCCAGTTCCAGCCAACTCTGAGAAGAAAGAGGCAGACCAGGTGAGCCTACTGTGATTAATTTGGAAAAATTAATTAACAAAAAAACCCCTGACTTTTATATACATTTGTAACTTCCATGCATGCTTAATTTATAAAAAGAAATTACTGTTTATCTTTTAATAATTTGCAAGGCCATTGCCTCTTTTTTTTTTTTTTCTGCTTATTTCTTTTACAGAAATCTGTACCAGGAAATAATGCCCTTAAGGGGCTTTTTCTAACCTGGTCTACAGTGAGTTCCAGGACAGGCTCCAAGGCTACAGAGAAACCCTGTCTCGAAAACCAAAACAAACAAACAAATAAAAAAATAAAAAAAAAGGAAAGAAAAAAGAAGCAGCTTTTCTAATATTCTAAAGTGATACACTGTTCAGTATTTTAATTGAGAAAATCAACTAGTTAGGTTAAAGCTTAACATGCAGTTTAGTTCACAAGATTTTCTTTTTACTCATGACAATTTAGGAGAAATAGTTTCATGAATGTTTATCACTGTGCTCTATCTAGTTAAAATAAGATAAAATATAACCAATCTTACCTGAATATCAGAGTAAGAACTGACGACATTCCTATTTTTTAAGAAGTAAAAAGACAAAAACAATTTTACTTTTGTTCTTATAAATTAATAACCTTTCAATAAACACTAACAATTATAATGAACTAACTCACAAACATCATTATACTAGATTTCTCTAAGTCATTTCTTAAAAGACAAAAATATGATAATGCCTTGAATTTTACCAGGAATTATGATGATTCTTTTTTCTACTAAAGCCCCTTGGGATTATAAATTATATTATAATATTACACTGCATAAGTACATACAGAATACACATGTATGGGCATGAGTACACACATGTCCAACAGAATCTATTTACTGAACAGAGCTGAATGTATACTGCACTACTTTTCTTTCCCTTAATGAAAAGAACTAGCATGCTGAAAGAGAGGGAATGACTTATGGCAGGTGTAAAACTCTTCACTCAGCCTTAAAGTCACTGGAATAAAAAGTAAATGCAAAGATCTTAAGTTGACAGGGGGAAGGATGAGAATAAGAGCAAATCTACATTTAATGCTCAGATTATATCAATACCTAGTATCAGGCACTTCACAGATACTTTGAAAGATATTGACGGTATGAGAAGAGAAAAGCAATTGTATAACAGGTTTCAGAGCTCGGATGGCAAATGCAGGGTGGGAAGGACCATGGTGGAGCATGCTCTCTCTCTAGTCATCTGCTCTCTCCCCCTGGAGCTGGCTGAGCAGACACTTACATTGACAGAGCTTCAACGTATGGTCCAGAAACAGGATGCTCTCTCACTCTCAGCTGGAGAAAGAAACAGTCCATCTTTAAGAATGGGACAAATATTTAGTAGGAAATACAATTCTAAATCTTTTTTTTATATATTCAAGTTTGAGATAGAGATTTATCTTTACTCTATCCAGAAAGAAATACAATAATAAAAGTCCAGAAAAAAAATTTCTCAGGAAATCTGTAAGGCACTAAGAAACATCATCAATAGAAATATTTAGTCTCATAACATAGTCTGTACATATCTTACTTCTTATTCTTAATTTAAATTCTGCAATAGCTGTTAAATATGCTCTTAAATCTCTCTAAAACAAATTCATTGTAAACTTCAGATATTAAAAATTTTCACCTATACTTTAAACTTTATCCAGAAATTTTAAAATGCAAAGAAATCATTCAAGACAATGCCATTTTAGGTTTCTCAATGTTGTCAATGGTGGACTTCATAACATTGGGGAAAGAGTGATTTTAGATTTTCATTTCTTGTGCTGAGAAGTCCTTCATAAAATTAAAACTTCAATTCTAACTGCAGTCTTTCTTTGTTTTTTAACTGAAATTTACAGTTATTTCACAGATGATCTCCCAAGCATCAAAGAAGCCATGCAGTGGTGGTGCATATCTTTAGTCCCAGAACTCAGGAGGCAGAGGCAAAAGGATCTCTGTGATTTCAAGGCCAGCCTGGTCTACAAAGCAAGTTCTAAGTCAGGCTCCAAAGCTACACAGAGAAACCTTTGTCTCGAAAAACAAAACAAAAATCAAATAGAGACTAGGGCACTAACTCAGAAAAGTGTTTGCCTCACAAGCAAGAAGACCAGATTCAATCCCTAGGACCCAAATGAAAATGTCTGGCACAATGGCACACACATTTGTAATGCCAGCACTAGAGAAGTTGGCTCACTGGGCTCACTGGCAGCTAATCTGGCCTAACTGGTGAGCTCTAGGCCAATGAGCAGCTGTCTCAAAGTAGGTAGACAATATTATGAGGATAATATTTGAGGCTGTTCTCTGGTCTTCACATGCAGGCAGACACACACTCATGTGTACACACACATGCATTTTAAATAATCCATTTAAATGATCATTCTACAACACTGGTTCTCAATCTTACTAATGCTGTGACTTTTAATACAGTTCCTTATGTTGTGGTGACCCCCAACACTATTTTAGCTGATACTTTATAACTGTAATTTTGCTACTGTTATAAATCATAATATAAATATCTGATATATGCAGGATACCTGATATGTGACCCCTGTGAAAGAATTATTTGACCCTCCAAAGGTATCGTGACCTACATGTTGAGAATTACTGTTTTAGAATACAACAGTTTCAAAACTTTTAGATTTTTTTGGCTTACAAACTATTAGAAATTACCTATTTGACTTGCACAGTCTTACTAAATCCTTGAACTAATATTTTACTTTTAACTTTTAGATAAAATTTGATTAAATTTTATTTATTTATTTACTTGGGTTTTTTTTTTTTTTTTTTTTTTTTTTTTTTTTTTTGAGACAAGGTTTTTTCTGTGTAGCCCTGGCTGTCCTGGAACTCACTCTGGAAGACCAGACTAGCCTTCAACTCACAGATCTGCCATGCTCCACCATGCCTGGCTACTTGATAGTAATTTAAAAATGAGTTGAATCTCAACTAATTTAATTTCAATTTGTGCTAATACCAATGTAGTTAAACTGGAGATGCCAAGCATTTGCTATCACATGAAAGTGCCATGTTCTCCAGAGAACTCACAAATACATGCTGTTATACAGACAGAAATAGAAACAAATGATGACAGGCAAGATGGCTGTGCAGGTAGAGTGCTTGTCCCCAAGTCTGACCACCTGAGTTCAATCCCTGGGATCCACATGGCAGGAGAAAATGGATTCCAGCAAGTTGTCCAGACCTCCTCATGCATGTTGTGGCAAGCACATGTACTGCTCTCCCCCATGAGTAAGTAAGTAAATGCAGTAAAAATGATTTAACTCTTACTGGTTGTTTTCTCTGCCCGTTTTCACCTTTACAAACCAGAAGGTCATGAATCTTCTCATTATAAACTTCAAAGAAGCTCATTTCGAGATGGTAGCTGACCTAGACGGACAGAGACAAAGCATCCAATTTGCTTTAAAATCCTTTGCATTTTTGTAAATCATATGCCTAACACAGATACAGATCCGGAATACATGAAGGGCTTTTACCACCAACATAACATAAAAAATGTAATTAAAAAATCAGGCAAAGAACTTGAACAAACATTGCTCTAAAAACCATACACAAATGGCAAACGAGCACACGAAGAGATGACCAGCATCACTGTCAGTGGGGACGTGCCAAACACCACAGTGAGCCAGCACTTCACACCCGTAAGGATGGCCATAGACAACAACAATAAATGGGGCTGAGTAATGGCTCAGCAGTGGTGAGCATCTGCTGCTCCTGCAGAGAACCTGGATTCGGTTCCCAGTGCCAACACAGCATCTTACATGGCCTCTAAAGGTGCCAGTACATGTAGGCAAACACTCATACACATAAGATAAAATAAAAAATTTAAATAAAGAAAAACTGACAAATATTGAGGATGTAGAGAGACTGGAATCCTCTCCCATTGGTAGCAGGGATATAAAATGGCAAAGCCACTGTGGAAAAAATTCCTCGAAGGTTAAGCAAAAATTTAGCTCATGGCTCACATCTCTACTCTTATACATCCAAAAGATTACAGAGTATTCAAACACAACTGTGTACCAGTGTTTATAGCAACACTACAACAGATACAAACAGCCCTTTGTACTAAGAAATGAAGTACTGATTGATACTTGCTATAACATGGATATATCTCCAACAAATGCTAAGTGAAAGAAACCAGACAGGTAGATTACCCGTTATATGATTCCATTTATGTGAAATTTCAAAGCAGGCAAATTCAGAGAAAGATAAGCAGATTAGTAATCCCAGAGTTTGGAAAAAGTAATAAGGAGACCTAACAATTTAGTGTGTTCAAAGTCTTCTTTGGGAGCAATGGAAGTCTTCTGGACTACAAAGAGACTGTGTTAAGAATTTACCACTGCAACCTGTGAGGTAGATCACCGGGAAAGGACACTTGCTGACAAGCCTGGTGACCTGAGTTCGATCTCTGGGACCTACATGGTGGAAGACAGAACAGACTCCCACAAGCTAGTTGTCTTCTGACCTCCACGAGCACATCGTGACACATCTGGTCCCATAGTAAATGAATACAATTTTTAAAAACTGCACCACTAACCTGTACACAAAAATGGTTAATGTTCTATGAATTTTATCTCCCTAAAACAAGTTTTGCATTTCTTCCAGTTAATGTCTAGATAAAGTCCAATTCAAGTCTATAAACATTTAAGCACCTACCTACCATGTGTGTGCCTTTAGCTTGTTGCTAAGGATGGAAAGAAATGAAGTACAAGGCCTTCCCCATTAGGGTCCCACTGCAGAGAAATCAAGATACTCTCCAAAAAGAAATAAATTTATTTATTTATTTATTTATTTATTTATTTTCTAGACAGGGGTTCTCGGTAGTTTTGGATGCTGTCCTGGAACTAGCTCTTGTAAACCAGGCTGGTCTCGAACTCACAGAGTCCAATAGGAAATTAATTGAAAGTAATGGGAGAAAATCTTTGCCAGCCATACATCTGACAGAGGATTCATGCATAGAATATATACGAAGCTTTAAAAACTAAACCAAGAAAGTAAACAACCTGATTTTTAAAAAGTCTATGGAACTGAACAGATGCTCTCTCAAGAGAAAGAACACAAATGCTCTTTAAGTGTTCAATATCATTAGCCATCAAGGAAAAGGAAAAAAAAAAAAAAAAAAAAATCTTTTTTAATTTTTTAAATAAAAAAACCAAAAAAAAAAAAAAAAAAATCTTTTTTAATTTTTTAAATAAAAAAACCAAAAAAAAAAAAAAAAAAAAACTAGCCGGAGATTCCATCTTGCTCCAGTTAGAATGGTTATTATTCAAAAAAACAAAAACAACAAACGCTAGCAAGGATGTGGAGAAACTGTTACATTGGTAAGGGATTACAGCCACTATGGAAATCAGTGTGGAGGTTTCTCAAAAAGCTAAAAATGCAGCCAGGTGGGCAATGGTGGTGCACACCTTTAATCCCAGCACTAGGAAGGCAGAGGCAGGTGAATTTCTTTGAGTTCAAGGCCAGCCTGGTCTACAGAGTGAGTTCTAGGACTGCCAGGGCTACACTGAGAAACCCTGTTTTGAAAAAAGCAAAAGCAAAACCAAAACAAAACAAAAAGCTAAAAATGCAGCTGGGTGCACTCAGGAGGTGGAGGCAAGTGGATCTCAATGACTCTCTGGTAGCCTGATCTACAGAGAAAACTCCAGGACAGCAAAAGGCTGTTTCAACATAGAAGCTAAAAGGGAAACTGCAACATGACCGAGCTGTACCACTCTTGGGTGTATGTCCAAAAGACCCTGTACTCTACAGACAGTTCCACTTCCGTGTTCCCTGTGGCTCTACTTACAATACACTAGAATGAGCCTAGATGTCTATCAATGCATGAATGGATAATGAAAATGTAGTAATATATACAATGGAATTAAACTCAGCTATAAACATGAAATATGAAATTTGCAGGAAAATGGATGATCTGGAAAATATTATAATGAATGAGGTGACCCACTAAAAGAGGGAGGACAGTAGAACTCTGGACATGAAAAACGGGGAGTTGAGAAAACAGTTATGAACATGAACAGGTCCAAGCAGGGGGGGATAGGAGAAAGGAGGAGGGGAGGGAGGGGTAATTAAACTAAGGAGATATAAAAAGGCCATATGGAAATTCACTGTTTTATGAGCTTATTAAAATTATAATTGAAAACAGTGAATGGAGGTATATTCCATGATGAATAATGTTCCTCCCAGAAGCCATGGGTTGTTAAACAAAAGTCTTGGTGCCAGGTGTGAGATACCTCCCTACAAGTTATTGGATGGGGAAGCATTAAAGTCTCCCAAACCACACAGGCTCTTGGCATTGCTCAGTTGCCCACCAGAACTAGATGGTACAACCTTATTGCTTAGGAGACTACCACACTGCTACACAGAGAAAGCAAGCTGAACTGAGTTGGAAGCTCCTATACTAGCAAGCACTCAAGTGCCAGAGGCGTTATGTAGGCTGCTGGTGAAGGAAACTCATCAAGTCTTTCACTCAGTGTGAATCAGGTGAGCTACAATAATGACCTGCCAGACAAGCTGTACCCTCTAGTATAACAATGGCACAAATGGTTTGGGGGTAATTAGCCGTTTCATGGTTGGATCTGAGGCCTGCTCCACAGCAGGGAATTCATGCCTGGCTCCACAAACTGAGTCAAAGGCCGATGTCTGGGGAGGTCATAGGTGCTAGGAGTGAACTAACTATTATTGCTTTCCTAAATAGTCATGTTGTCAAACTGCCTTTAGCTCCTTGTCATACTTTGTCCACCTCAAGTACTAAGTGCCTAGCCAGTCTTTTATATGTAGTCTTATTCCCCTTCAATCCATTTCCATGTTGCAGACAGGAATATATATATGAAGGTCAATCAAAACTAAATATATGAAATTCCATAAAGAAATCTGTTACTTTTTTTGTTTTGTTTTTCGAGACAGGGTTTCTCTATGTAGCGTTGGATCCTGTTCTGGAAATCACTCTGTAGACCAGGCTGGCCTTGCACTCAGAGATCCACTTGCCTCTGCCTCCCAAGTGCTGGGATGCAAGGCGTGTGTTATCACTGCCTGGCTCAGAAATCTGTTACTTTTTAATGTTTATTGAAATATAAAATTGGCAGACGTGATAGTATATACCTTTAATACCAGCACTAGAGAGGCATAGGCAGAGGCATCTGGGGATCTCTAGGAGTTCAAGGCCAGTGTGGTCTACATAGCCAAGGTTTCATAGTGAGACCTTGTCTCAAAAACTTAACTAAACTAAGAGCTGGCTTAGCAGTTAAAGTGTTTGCTGCACAAGCAGGAGAATCAGAGTTTAGATGCCCAAACTCATGTAAATGCTGGTGGGCATGTGGTCCACCTATAATTCCAGCCTTAGAAAGTAGAGATGGGGTGGGGGGGACCGCTTCCCTCAACAAACCAGCTAGCAAAAATAGCTGTAACAGCAAGTTTTGGGTTTAAGAGACCCTGAATCAGGTTGGAGAGATGGCCCAACGATTAAGAGCACTGGCTGCTCTTCCATAGGACCCAGGTTCAATTCCCAGCATCCATATGGCAGCTCACAACTGTCTAACTCCAGTTGCAGGGGATTAGACACCTGCATATAGATATACATACTGGCAAAACACCAATGCACATAAAATAAATAATTCAAAAAGAGAAAGAGGGAGAAAAGGAAAGGGAGAGAAAGAGAGAGAGACCCCAAATCAAAGGATAATGTAAAAGAACGATCAGTGAAGATTCCCAACATCAACTTTGGGCCTTCACACAGACACACATGTATACACGATGCACACCCTTACACATGTGCCCAAACACATATACATGTACATACACATGCATGCACCCGCCACACACAAACACATGAAAAGAACAAAAGTAAAAAGATTGCTTTTTAAAAAAAAGAACAAATAGGAATATGTTATTTCCCTGTTTAAAATCTTTCAATGGCCTGAAGATGCCTGCCCCTCTAGTTTCATCTCTTGACACCCTCCACCCTCAAATCCCACTCAAACCAAAGTAAACAATTTACAAATTCTCCAAGGCCCCTACTTTCTTATTCTTGTCTTTGTGCCAGCTGTTTGCTTGGGATGTCCTTCCTGCTTTTCTTTCCCAAGCCAATAGCTAACATAGATCCTTCAAATGCAAGTGCAGCTGTTCCTCCTCCTAAGAAAACTTGTCTTCAGCTCACTCACTTTCCTGTTTGCTGTGCTTTGAATGTGTCCCCCAAACGTTCATACTTTGTGGGAAAACCAAATAACCCAAATTCTCCTGTGCCTGCTATTTGGAGAGAAGACCTTTAGGAGGCAATTAGGGATGGGCAAGTTCCTCAGGTAAGACCCTATGATAGGACTGAGGGCTTTAAGAGCCAAGCCTACGCCCACCTTTGTCATGTTATGATATAAGAAGGTCCACACCATGACAGCATCTTGACACTGGGCTTCCAGATTCCAGTACTGTGAGAAACTTTATTTTTATAAATTTATCTTTGCTATTGTGTTATAACAGAAAAGGGTCTAATACAATGTAACAACACAGCATTTGCTTGCTTATACTTAGCATGTAATTGGTTATACTTGGCTGTTAATGGTCCATGTCTTCTGTTTCTCTCTCCTGACTATAGAGACCCCATGCACCCAAGTCTACTGTAACAGTTTCCCTTATGCAAAGATGGAAAATATAAATTCTCAGGCTGCATTCCAGAGCAATTGACATGTGATCTCCAGGAGAGATTTAGCAAGACACATACACCTGCTCCCATCAGATCCCTGATGACACTCATGATCAACTGACTGACAAAGAGTTAGACACTAGACTGGCAAGCAGTGGCAGGTGCTCGGCAGATACTTCCTGAAAGAAAATGAGTACATGAAACAAGAAGCTACAACTGGGTTGTAGACTGACTAGAAAGGCCTGGTTTTTAAAGTCTGGGTTCCCACTCTGGCTTCACTACCCTTTGTTTCAAGTTGTCCAAGCGTTGTCTACTGTATTCAGCTGACTCTGTGCACCCACTTGACTCCAGAGATACATCTATGCCCACATAACCACCAACCACCCTGTAAGCCGATACACAGCACAAAGGAGAGAAGCAAGGAAAGGAACCAGGCATGGTGTGCACATCTGCAGCCCGGGAACTCAGGAGGCAGTGGCAGAAGAAACGAGAATTCAAGGGCAGCATGAGCTACAACACAAAGCACAAAAGCAAAAGGTGGAGACGAGAGAGAGAGACCAGAGATTAGCCAACCCTCTACCGCTGCCCACCAAGAAGAACTCCTACATTTGGAGCCTCCTTCCCCTTCCTTCTCCATACTCCACCAAAGAAAGGTGATCTGGAGTTTAGAACACCATCTTTTAGACCTTGTAATGGGTCTTAGCGTTCATGTGATTTGAATTTGAGCATACCTCGGAGGTTTGTTTTTTGGCTACTTGAGCAAAAAGATCTTCACAAAATCTCGGAATTATTCCTGGTTCTTCATTAAGTCCCATCATCCTAGAAATACATTATGAACAAGAAGGAAGAGACATTGATCAGTTTTGGAAATCTCAAAATAATTCTTTTAGGAGAAATGGTCTGGGAAGGGAACAGAGAACATGCAATTCCATTGCTAATACCTAAGAATCTAGGCTCTGAGGCCAAATCTGCCCCATCTAAGTTTTACTTCTCTTCAAGGCTCATGTACCCCAGCTGGCCTCAAACTCACTATGTAGCCTTGAATTTCTTTTGTCGGGGGAGGGGGCTAGAATTGAACCTAGAATCTCATGTATTCTAGGCAAAGGTTCAACCTAAGCTACAGCCCCAGGCAGGTCTTGAACTTCTGACTCTCCTGCCTCCACCTCCCACATTCTGAGATTACAGGTATTAGCCACCAGATCCAGTTTATATATTGCTGAGTTAGCCTTACAGCCTCACATAAGATTCTTAGCCCCATTACACCTCAATTCAGCCTTTAAAATGGCAATGTCAGAAACGGAAAGGGTTACTGTGAGAGAATACAGGCAAAACTGTCATTGACGTCAATTAAAACTCAGAACAGGAAATATTCCCATAGCTACCATTCACAGGATGCTTTACTTCTATACTGTTTTAAGATTGTTGAGTTCAGGGGCTGGAGAGATGGCTCAGTGGCTAAGAGCACTAGCTGCTCTTCCAGAGGACCTGAGTTCAATTCCCAGCAATTGCACATGGTGACTCACAACCATTTGCAATGAGATCTGTCTCCCTCTTCTGGCATGCAGGCAGAACACTGTATACATAATACATAAATAAGTTTAAAAAAAAAAGATTGTTGAGTTCACAGAGTAATTGTATACATTTATGGAATACAGTGGTATATTTTAATACCTAAATACAATGTAGAATGGGCAAGGCGACATACAACTTCAGTATTTATCCTTTTATTATACTGAGAATATTCAAAATTTCTGAGCTACTTTGAAATACACAATTTATTGGCACCAAGCACAATTACCATAGTTACCCTGCTGCATTATGTCTTATGTTTACACCTATGCTCCTGGGGTGTCCTGTCCTTCCTTCTGAGTATCCTTCTAACCCGCTAAAAGTCTATATTAAAATATCTTTAATAAAACCAGGTACTGTGTATGACCAAAATTTCTAGTCAGGTTTTTATCTAGTAACTTCACAGTTGTTCATACATGTTAATACAAGAAAGATTGATGTAAGAAGGTTTGAAGATCTGCCAAATATGAGAGACTAAGATGCCTTACAGTTCTCAGTACACACACACACACACACACACACTATCCTCTTTGATTCAGTTTATGAAAGAAATATAAGTTAGGGCTGGAGAGATGGCACAGTGGTTACGAGCACTGGCTGCTCTTCCAGAGGACCTGGATTCAATTCCCAGCACTCATATGGTGGCTCACAGCCATCTTGTGACTCCAGTCCCAGGGAATCCAACACCCTCTTCTGGCCTCCTCAGGCACCCAATATGCATATGGTATACAGACACACATGCAGGCAAAATACCCATACACATAAAAAATTAAGTTAAAATAAATTATGTAAGTTACAGCAAAACAGAGACAATTATATCTACAAGGAAAATTACCCGTGTAAAGTACAGCCTAGAGATTCAAGTGTCTGCCTAAGTATACAGACTTAGTCTAGAATAATGGAGGAGACCCAAGCCCAAATCTGTATGATGTCAAAACTATAGTCTTCAGCAGGCAAGATGGCTCAGTGGGTGAAAAGGCACTGTGGACAAGCCTGGTGACCTGAGGTCAATTCCCAGAGTCTAAAAGCAGAAGAATCAACTGCACAAAGCTGTCCTCTGACCTCCACAAATATGCCACGGCACATGCACCCAAGCACAAACATTATGTGCATACACACAACAACTTTAAAAAAATTTTAATTAAAAAAAAAAAAACAAAAGTATTCTTTCTATAGCCACGATGCTGACAAAAGAAAATGTAAACCTTTCTAGATAGTTGCATAATATATCACTTACGTGTACGACTTTCCAGAGCCAGTCTGGCCATAAGCAAAGAGACAGGTATTATAGCCTTCAAAAGCTCTTTGTAGGAGTGGCGCTGCCAGCGACTCATACACAGTAGTCTGGCTAGCATAGCCAGGATGACAGTCATCAAAAGACCAAAACAAAACATCGTAGATGAAACTATAAATTTGTTTCATATCGGGATGTTCCACAGTTATTTCTTCCCCGTTCCTGAAGACAATCTGGGATGCTTTCTCCATCTTCTCTCTTTGGAAAGAAGCACACAGAACAAAGTACCTGTCATTATTATGAAAACCATCTCCACAGAACACAAGAAGGGCCCCTTGAAGCTTAAGGTCACCGTTCCCTCAGGGCAAGACAATTCTCTAGCTTTCTGTAGAAAATCAGGAAACCAAGGTCAGTGAGTCTCGAAAATGTGTGCTCTGTCTCAAGTGCAGCTCTACAAGGGAAACCAATTTCAAATTCCTTGTTCAGAAAACCAATTTTTAAAGTTTTCTATGGAAAAATTTAAACAGTTACTATCCTATGTCTATGTTTCAATTCAAATCATGAAATGTCTTTTTATATTACAAAAAGATATGGAGATAGAAAGCTATGTAAAGGTGGCATAAAACATGAATACAATTTTAATGAACCTGGAGTAACAAATTTAAATCTGAAGTGTCTTCGGGCTCCTAGTTGTCACTGTTAATACAAAGGTCCTTCCTTGCATGAGAGTCCCTCATCAAAATTTCCAGTCTTCATGGTACACCCTTCTATCCCAGACTTACAAAATCTTCACTTACTCAGTAGAAAAACACTGGCCCAAATGTCAGCCTCTTCTCCCTTCCCACTCCTTCCCCCAAGAATCTGCTTTAAAATCTCATTTATCCTGCAAACCATCTGTCTCATCAATCTGGTGAGGGCCACCCCACCCCCACCCCCAGCTTTCAGAGCCTCTCCATGAGCCTGGAGCCAGACACTTGGTCCATTACTTCCCAAGTTCTTCCAGTTGTAGTCATCCACCATGGGGCTCTCTTTCTATTGCCCTCTTCCTGGCGTGGCTCTGAAGCTCTTGTGAGCTTCTTGACTTTCTCAGATCAGCTCACCCTATTTTTGCTAAAAAGACCTTTACGGAACTTACTACCTTACCTCTAACTACTTTTCAGTTCAAATTCTAAGTTCCTTCACTGAAACAGCCGTCACCATGTACACTCCTGGGTTACTTAGGCACAGGTCACACTGCTGATCCCGTGACAAGTTTACTGTTTTCCCTTAAAGCATTTAAAAGTAATTCTATTGCACATTCATGTTTTATATCTACCTTTTATTTTTTATTTTTTTCAAGACAGGGTTTCTCCGTGTAGCCCTGGCTATCCTGGAACTCACTCTGTACACCAGGCTCATCTTGAATTTAGGAAACTGCCTGGGATTAAAGGCATGGCAACCAGACCTAGCTGATTATTTTTTTTAAATCTTATCATTAATCTGTGACTATTCCAACCACAATCACCTTTAGAGAGACATTCCACACCATCAAAATCAAGTATGACAAGCCTCTGCATTTTATCACCACTACATATCAAACTCAGGTGACACTGTTGATAATCACCATTCTGGAACATTTTTTGGGAAGACCTCTCTGGGGAAGCTATGAGCTGGTATGGCTCTTTTTAAAGAAAAGGTAGACATTACCAACCACTACAAATCATGAATTTGAAAGGAGACTGCATTAGAGAATTCAATGACTCACTCAGCAACAACCCTTTAGGGACGAAATCTCACTCTTGTAGCCTTGGCTAGCCTGGAACTTGCTATGTAAGCCAGGCTGGCCTTGAATTCAAAGATCTACCTGCCTCCACTTTCCAAATGCTGGGACTAAAGGCATGCACAATTATGCCTGGCTCAGTTTCTAAAAGCAATGTAGCTAGGAGCACAGATGCAAAATACAGATTTTAACTTGTGTAGTCTATCATAAAAAGAATCAATGTAGCCGGGCTTTGGTGGCGCACGCCTTTAATCCCAGCACTCTGGAGGCAGAGGCAGGCGGATCTCTGTGAGTTCGAGGCCAGCCTGGTCTCCAGAGCGAGTGCCAGGATAGGCTCCAAAGCTACACAGAGAAACCCTGTCTGGAAAAAAAAAAAAAAAAAAAAAAGAATCAATGTACTACAATTAAGACTAAACATTAGTGGGCTGGAGATGTGGCTCAATGATAACACACCTTCCTACCTAGTGTACACAGTGTTCAACTCCCAGCACCACAGGAAAATGCCAACAAGGTTAAAGACACACAACTACTACACTGGCTCTCTAAAAGCAGAGAGGAATCAAAGGCACAGCATGGCCTGGGACTGACTTAGCCCGAGAGCTGAAACCCTGAACATACCGTTTGCTGAAAGGCCTCACTCGCACGGCCACCGTCACTTGACTATTTTCTGCCCTTACAGGGTCTGCTTCTGTGAAGGTATTCTGAACTGCAGATTTTTCTTCTGGAGGGAGTGTGCTTTCTTGTGAGTGGTCCCTTTTATTTGCAAGAAGAGCACTTTTTGGCCTCTGTTTAACCTGAGGGCTTGCTAGCCTGTTTTTCAGGGTTGATACAGCTGGGCTTTTAGGTGGAGGCAGGGTATGCCTTGGTGCCAATCTATGTTCTGGAACACATTGCACCGGGGTCCTTGTTTCTAAGTTTCCAACTTTATGGACAGTTTTTGCAATGTCCTTCCCTGTATTTCCATGGTGTGGCTCTCCTGCTTCTGACACTTTGACATCCAGCTTGTTCTCAACCGGTTTCACTGCTAGGTGACCTGATCTCACAACACCAGTTTGACACTGGGAACCAACGGGCATTCTACCGTTTGAGTTCTTAACTGTCCCCCTTTCGTTTGCCGTACTGAGGGCAGGAAATATGTCTTTGCGTTTTTCACCAACCATCACTCCAATGTCATTTGAGTCTTCCATGGAAACCACAGATGACACTACACCAGTGTTGTTATTTACAAGCTTTGCTTTTGTCCTAGTTCCCTGTGAAGCACAGTTATTTTCTTTGTCACCTCCCACAGTATATGTTGTTTCCAACTTTTCCACAAAATCTGTTTTAGGATGACGACGTTGTAACCTAAGACTTGTATCTGCTGTTTTTGTAGTAGTGTCTCCCAGCTCACTACCAAGTAAAGATGATTCTTTGTTCCAAGTAGCCCTTCTCTGAAGGGTCAGTCTGCTGGAGTCAGGGGTGATGGGCGTCTCTCTTGTTTTTTTACAGGCAGAGATAACATAAGTGCTATTTATGTCTCTGGCTTTACTTCCAGCACTCAATACTGGATCGTGATTTTCACTCTCTGACATATTTGACTTCAAGTATATTTTAAGTCGGTTGCTGTGGGTGAGGCCACTCAGTGATGAGGTCTTCTGACAGCCTTCCAGGGTATCACTGCTGTGTCTGTTAAGCGAAGTGTGTACTGACATCTTGGCACCAAGTTATTTAAAAAAGGGTGAAGAGTCTAAGCACTTTAGGGGCTTGTTTGATTGCTGGCCATTCTGTACTTTTCAGTCTCCAAAAATATTTGATCAACTACAAAAAAGAAAACCGGAAAACAGTTACTACAAATTTCACAAACAGTGAGGTTCTCCCACTACAGAAGTGAATTCTCAGAGGTATGCATTAGACTGAATCACACCTCCGCCTCCACTTCATCTCCATGAAGCTTTGGACTATCTCTGCCCTCAAAGGACTTTCACTCATTACTCAACAAATATTTACTGTCGGTACATGCCAGGCACCCACAGACACCTGCAGAGGGTCTTCAAACACAAGACCTTCCAGCCTTATTTCCGTCATCTAGGAGCTCACAGGTAACTTATCTCAAGAGAAATGAGTCAAGTGGTTTAAGAAACACAGAATGTGTATGTGAGCATGCTCCAAGTATCCCCAGCTTGGAATCATAGCATTGAATCAGAGTCTGAAGCCAAGGTTTCTGAATACTTGTTAAATGTATGTTAAATACAGGAATGCCTACAAAGCAGATCAACATGATGTCACAAGGCAGGCTTCCCCAATAAGTAAGTACCACGGGCATTACATACTATAAACTGTATGTATAGCCAAGTGTGATGGTTCAGACCTGTAATTGCAGCCTCAGGGAGGCTGAGGTGGGAGAATGGAACTTTCAAGGCCAGCCTGACCATGTATATGCAAGCAAGACCCAGTCACCGATGCCTATTCCCCCCTCAAATTAGATACATGGACTGTCTTTTATTCATTAAACAACAAACTAGACAGGCATGTGTGGAAATATAGGCCAACAATATCTATTAGGCATTACTTAATAAAGAACAGTGGGAAAGCACATGGCTGGCTGTTGACCGGTTCTTTATCGTGACCCTTAAGTGGATGTAAACAAGTCTTTAATATTGGATTCCTGAGTCTGCCTTACAAAATGACGTTGATTCAAAGTATTTCAGACATTATTACAAATCAAGGAACAAATGACCAGAAGCTCGTTTTAAAAAGATTTTTAAGGTTTGACATAATTAAGAGTCATCGTTACTTACAACAACAACAACAACAAAAAGGGTCCAATTATAAGCATCTACTGCTAAACTTTCAACAGAAACTACAGAACCCGCCCATTATGAAGTGAAATTAAGGACAATAGATCCCTGGGTCTTAGAAATCCCAAAAGCCATCTGCTCTTTGCACAAATCAACATGTTTTTTGTTTGCAGAGTTTCGCCATCAGCTTTCCAAGAGGATTGGAAGGAAGGCAAGAAAAGTCAGACACGACCACCGGCCGCGGCTCCCGGAGACTGAAGCCGCCACGCCAGGCTGTGACAGTGTACCTGGACCCCACCGAGTCCGCAGTTGCACGTTCCGCGGCGCTGCCTCGGCTTCCGGACGGACAGAGGAGCGCCCCGCGCCCCTCGCCGGGGACTCTGGGACAGGAGGAGGCCGAGCCGCGCCCACCCGCGCACCCCCGCCTGCTGGACGAGCAACCGCAGGCAGCGTTCAAGGTCCACCGGCCGGCTGGGCGAGCAGCTTCAGCGCGCTCTCGGCCCCGAGCCTCCTTCCTCTCCCTAGACCCTCAGCACTCACCATTCCCGGAGCAGGCTCCCGCGGCTGCAGCAATTTGAATGCATGTCTCGCCTCCTGATTGGTTGCTGGACGCGCGTCAAGCACCGCCCCTTCGCTCCTCCCCACCCCCCGGAAGCGTAGCTTCTCCCGCGAGACCGCCCCGCCCTTGTCTCCTAGGCGACGACGGGAGCCTCCTTTGGGCTCAACCCCAACACAGCGGCGCAAAGAGCTTGGAGCTGGGAGGTACCCCCAGAATGGGAGGGCACTCACCTGAAGGGTTTATAGAAGCCACAGTCTTACCTCGAAGATTTATCGTGAATGACCGTGTGCCCCACGTTAGTTACAATAACACTTCTGGTATTTCATACGCAAGTCGTTGAGTGATGACATGGACTAAGTGTCTTAGATGAATTAAAAATATTTAATCCTGAAAATCTTATGAGGTGTTAACGTTATCCCGGTCTGTAGATGAGGAAACGAAGTTTGGTGTTTACAAACTTGTGAATGATCTGACCACTGGCTGAAAGTCTAAAGCTGTTGCAGAAAAGGTTTCAATTAAGTTTTTTAAGCCTGAAAAAAAGGTAATCCCTAAAATAACCAGCTCAATAGACTGATTCTAGCCTAATATGTATTCCAAATTAACAGTATGAAGATAATTGAAATTATTCAGTAAGACAGAAAAGGAAAGCAGAAGTAGATTCAGCTGTATGAAAAATTACACGATAAAGTAGTCATTTTTTTCTAACACTTTTATTTGTTCCTTGACAATTTCTTTCTTTCTGTTTTAAGTATATGGGTGTTCTGCCTATATGTATGTCTGTGCATCGTGTGGGTTCCTGGTGTCCACAGAGACCAGAAGAGGTCTTTGGATCCTCTGCTACTGGAGTTCCAGATGATTGTGAGCCGCCATATGCGTGCTGGGAATTGAACCCAAGTCCTCTAGAAGAGCAAGCAAGTGCTCTTAACCACTGAATCATCTCTCCAGCCCTCATTCTTCAATTCCTAAAAAATCTTAAAATATATCTATGGGGAAACTCGCCAAACAAAGTGTTTATCAGATCAATTGTGAAAGTGTTCATTTAGTTAGTAGTAAGAAGATGTGATGAGGAAAAAGACTAATAAACTCAATACATGAGAAGTTTAAAAATCAAATATAACTCAAAACAAGTGTAAGATAACTAGGAAAATATGATATATAAGTAAAAATCTCTTCAACTTAGATGATAATAACTTGATAATAGACTATAACCTGGGTAAAGATGCTTCATTACAAAAAAGAATTCACATACATACAAAAATAATTCATATAAAACAAAATGCAAGCATTCCAGACATTAAAAAAATAAGTATGTATAAAAAAATCTTCTTAAAAAATTCTTCTTAAATTTTGGGGTTTGTAATTTTGTACAAAAATTCAAAGTCTAAATTTTTAGTCATGTTCATTGGCATATTTCTTGAGTTCAGAGGCCATGTCTATTCAGTGTCTCTCTAGAGTTCAGTATAGGGCCTGATATATAGTAAGTGCTCAGTAAACATTTGTCAAATAACAAACCCTTCTAGACCTGTAAAAAATAAGGATATCCATACATCCAGACTTAGTAATGGTATGAAAGAAATTTATTTTGAACAAAAATTCACAAGAATATTTCCTATTTTTATTAGGTACAAACTTGAGAAAGTCTAAATGCCCAATCACAGTAGAATGCTATGAACACTAGAAAAATGAGGAAAAAAATAATAAATTAAATTATAGTTATTGTGTCCTTTTAAACTAAATAGTTACTGAGGTGGGTGTGGTGGCTCCCACCTATAATCCCAGGATTAGGAGATGGAGGCAGGAGAATTGCTTCAATTTTGAGGCCAGCTTAGGCTACACAGTGAATTTCAGGGCAATCTGAGCTAGAATAAGACATTGTCTTAAAAAGAAAAAAATCCTAAAAAGTTGCACAGGCCGGGCGTTGGTGGCACATGCCTTTAATCCCAGCACTGCAGAGGCAGGCAGATCTCTGTGAATTAGAGCGAGTTCCAGGACAACCTCCAAAGCAATACAGAGAAACCCTGTCTCAAAAAGAAAATAAAACAAAAAGTTACACAGCAATTAAAAATTAAATAGGGGAAGGCAATAATTAGACCTAGTCACAATGTGTGTGCTCCACCAGACTGCAAGCTTGAAATGGTGGCCCTGGTGACTGACAGGAAAGCCTCATAAGACTGTCACAGAACACTAGTCACACCCACTCTACTCTCTTTCTGTTCCAGATTCGGGATTTAATTCCACTGGATGATATTCCACAGAATCCGGGGCCAGCTGGAGTCACCTCTAGGTTAGACAAGGCAGATATGGCTCTCTTAGTCATTTCACTGTGACAGCACTTTTCCGTGCAAATCCTGTCCAAAGTGGACTAGCAGGGGAATCACTCAGAGACTGAGTGACTCCGGCTCTTCATCCGAAAATTGCAGATGAGAAAGCTGCCCATCCCAAAGAGTCAGAATGAGGATTAACGTAGTGTTTGGTAGCTTAGAGCCTGGCGCAGGATTAATACAAATGTTAGTTCCACGACTGTATGGCCTTAATGTAACTCTCTACAGTGTGGAACAGCCATATTCAAGTTCAGTGGTGCATTTGGGGGCTTTCTAATAGTAATGACACATTTAATGAAAGATGAGGATTGTGATTTTAAGCCCTAGAAATAAACAATGAGAAAATGTAAGTGTTTTTTATAATGGACTCTCTCTGGTCTCTTAAAAGACAACAAGAAAATACTTTTGGGGCCAGGCACTCCTCATGAGTCTTGTTCATGTATAACCAAATTGTTAAGAAGCACAGGCCATTGTGCACTTTTCTTTGAAGAGGGACAAGAAGGAGTCTAGCAAATGAAAAATTTGGCCAATACCAGGTGGGTAGGGTAAACCATAATTCATTTCAAGCCTCAGTTCTCGAGTAGTGGTCAGCCACCGTCTTGACTTGGGGATATGGTGCCTTCTCCAACATTTGAAAGCCCCTGACAGGTTAGAAGGGCGACTTTGTTAGTAGCAGCAGAGCAGCTGCTTACACAGCTCTATGTTTTCAAGTTTGACTCATTCAAGTAATAGTTGCTTTGGGAGATTAGAGACAGTGGCCCACTGTCATTATTTTACTTGTCTCACCTTTGGTAGTGGCAGGGGTGGCTTGGCTGTTGCTGACTCCTAGAAAGAATCAAATTACAAGACATGCACAAAATATGTTTTTAAAATATGCTTTTATGAATATAAACATAATTATAAGAACCCTATCAACGTCAACTAAATCAACCACTCACATAGCCAGGAACCAAGGTAACTCTAATAATATATTTTCCTTAGCTTCCTATTCCAGCTGCAAAGCAGTCTTCACTTATGTCATTATCTAGTTCCCCCCTCAGAGAAACAGGTACCCCACTACTTAGGGCCATTCTGCGCCTTTACCTTGTCTTCTCCGTTGCCCCCAGTGACCTCCCACATCAGTTTTCTCCATCTTTCCTCCATCTCTGACATCTTTCTCATCTGAAAAACGTAAGACGCTTGCCAGCTGCTCCAGCTGTGTGTTACTTTATCACCTCATGACCAGGCTTTCCTTAGGGAGGGGTGCCCAAGCCTAGAGGTTTGGGGCACTTTGGATGCACATGGGAGAGGCTTGGCCAGGGCTGTTTGACTAGGCAAGTGAAAGAGGTTCAATCCGGACAAGAGAACATGAACCAAGGTTCTAAAGCGAACACTGAGACGTGAAGCCTGTAAGACCAAGGGGCAAGTAGAGGACACTGGGCCCCAAGCAATTAGGATCCCAGTAAACAAAAGCACAGAGTTAGCAGGGAAGAACTGAGGTGCAAACAAGTACAAATCTCAGACATTTTCCAGGAACACCAAGATGCTGTCCACAGCTGTCATCCTGGGTGCTGACCTTAAGGTATGTATTTGGGTCAAGGACATAGTAGGGGCAAGCACAAGACACGGCTCTCTTCAAGTTTCCGGAAAGCCTTCTCTATGTATGTCCCATCGGTTCAGGGCCAGCTAACTTCTGCGTCGTCTACTCCACCATGAGTGAGCCTGTCATGAGGGGAAAGGAGGCTGTGAAGAAGGGGGCTTCTACGTTACCAGGGTTCTGCTCTACAAAACTGAAGGTGCACCTTCACCAATGTCTCCAGCTGCTGTGAAGCCAACTCTGTCAAAGCTGCCCTCTCTGACATTTAGTGCATTCCTCTGTTGTTTTCTGAAGTATGCTCCTCACATCCTGGCCTCCCACACCTCCACCCAGGGCTCATGGCATTGCTCTCCTCAAATGAAGTGGAGGACTCAGGGACCAAAGAGGAAAAGAGCTTTGAAATTGGTTCCTTTGTTTTCTAGAAGAATGAAGTAGAAACTGTGTGGCTGTCCACTTGGATATGAGGACACAATGGCTGGAGAAAGGCCACACCACACCCTAGGGATGAGATGGTAGTGAAGGAACCTGGATCTTCCATGACAGCAAAATCTGCATCAAATCCTAAACAACTTATCCCCTTACCTTTTAAAAACATAAAGCAAGTGTCTGATTTTAAAAGCCTTTTATGTACATCTTTGTATGCACACATGTATGTGTATGCCTCCCAATCTAACTAATACAAATCCATTCTTTACAAAATAAATATAGCTTGGCAGGCCTGTGATTCCTCCTCTGTCTCTCCCCTGCAGCTTCACTCACTACTCAGCTTGCATTTTATTTTCAGCCATTTGGAAGTGGCCCATTGTTCTGAATGCTTCATCTGCATGTGCGTCTTGGTGCCCAGGTTGCTGTCAGGAAGCAGATATACTCACCCTACATCCGCCTTCCCCGCCAAGACTCCCACTCAGACAAATTCTAAAACAGGTTTTAGAAATTTTGCGGCATGAACCGGGCTGACAACCGATGAACTCTTTCCTTGAGAAAAACCCATCCAAAGGCAGGCATGGTTGAGCACACCTTTAATGCCAGCACTTCAGAAATAGATGCAGGAGATTGCTGTAAAGTTCAAGGCCAGCCTCGTCTAGATCTAGCCTGTCTCAGCAAGTACACAAAACAAATCTGCAATGTAATCCCCAAAATAAAAGTAAGTAATTTTTAAAAATCCCACTAGATGGCACCAAACTGAAAGAAACCATGTAGAGCCTAGCAGCACACAAGCCTACAATAAATCGCCTTCATTAGCAGTCTTTTCACACACACACACACACACACACACACACACACACACACACAATCTGTTATAATTGAGTTCATTTTACAGTTTTATTTTCAGTGCTGGTGATCAAACCTAAGTCATTGCACGTGCTATTCACAAGTTCTATCTTAAAGCTGCATCAATAGCCCATGGGTCTTTTGAAACAGGTGAAACAGGATCTTACTATGCTGCTGAAGCCAGCCTTGAACTCACTATTCTGCCTCAGCCTTCTGAGTGCTGGGATTACAGATTGGAGCACCAAGTCCATGCACAAGTGCTGGCTGGTTTTACTCCTTTGTAGGTATTTGCACTTACTTACCTTTTGAGGTAAGACACCCTAGGATGTTGGAAATTAAAAGTCTTACAGTCCGAGGTCAAAGGAGAGGTATTGATGAGTCGTAAGAGCACCACAACCGCTGGAAGGGCCTTATATGAGTCTTTTTACTGCAGTGTCCTCACCTGTGAAACAAATGCCTGGATCAAGTCCATTCCTGGTTCAGGATACATCCATGACCAAATATCACCCTGTGTCCCTGTGACGTAGGTACACACGACTAGTCTACAGGCACAAGAGGCTGGGTTTCCACACCAATAACTCACCATGTACCTCATGCCTATTAATCAGGACACCCAGGGTCACTGCTCCTCATCTCTTCCTGGAACAGATAGATGTTTTCATAGACTTTCTTGCAAAAGAGTCAAATCTATACAGGTGAAGATTGTGGCAGATTCCAATTGTTTGCTTTGTTTTGTTTTTATTTTTCTGAGACAGGACCTTACCCTGTAGCCCAAGCTGGTCAGAACTTGTGGCAATTCTCCTGCCTCAGCTTCCCAAACGTTGGAATTACAAGTACACCCACTTTAATGAGACTTTTGTGATTTCTTAATGAGGCAATCTAAGTCATTTAGCAGGACTGCCTGTCATTTTAAAAGAAGCAATTATGTTAGGCAGTAATCCCTTTTAATGCATAAATGAAAGAACTCAGGGATTAGCAAATGTTACAGAATGCGCTTTTGCTCTTTTACTCCAGGGACAATACACAACACACACACACACACACACACACACACACACACACACACACACACACACACTTAGTGCTTTCCTCTGTTGTTTTCTGAAGTATGCTCCTCACATCCTGGCCTCCCACACCTCCACCCAGGGCTCATGGCATTGCTCTCCTCAAATGAAGTGGAGGACTCAGGGACCAAAGAGGAAGAAAGCTTTGAAGTTGGTTCCTTTAGTTTCTAGAAGAAAAATAAAAGTTCAGAGGGAAAAGGTAGACCGGTTAATTTAAGAAAAGCTGCCTAGCAACAAGCTAAGCTAAGGCTAGGCACTCATAATTAAGAATAAGCCTCCGTGTGTGATTTACTTGGGAGCTAGGTAGCAGGCCCTTCAAAAAGATCAAAAAGCTGATTGTTTCTAATTTAAATAAAAAATTAAATTAAAACACCCTAACTGCAGTTTCCCCTCTCTCTACTCCTTCCAGTCCTCCAACCCCCACCCCCACCCCTGGCCAGATCCACTCCTCCATTTCTCTTCAGAAAAGAGCAGGTTTTCCAGGAGTGAGAACTGAACATGGCATGACAAGTTACAATAAGACTAGGCATGTCCTCTTATATCAAGGCTGGATGAGGCAGCTCAGTAGGAGGAAGAGGGTCCCAAAGGCAGGCAAAAGAGCCAGAGCCAGTCCCCGTTCCCACTGTCAGGAGTCCCACAAGAAGACTAAGCCACACAAACATAACACGTATGTAGAGGACCCAGCACAGAACCCTACAGGCTCCATGATTGTTGCTTCAGTCTCTGGGAGCCCCTGGGAGCCCTGGTTAGTTGATTCTGTGAGCTGTCTTCTCCTGTTCTCATGGCATCCTGGACCCCTCTAATTCCTACACTCCTCCCAGCCCCTTCCCTGGGATTCCCCTGGCTCCCCCTAAGTTTTCCTGTGGGTCTCTGCATCTGCTCCCATCAATTGCTGTATGAAGCCTCTCTGATGGTGATTTCAATAGGCTCTGATCTGTGAGTAAAACAGAATGTCAT